TGCTTACACATAGCTGTGAATACGTTGTTTTTTAACTCTGCGCACCAAATGTAGTATAAAAAACTGTATTTCTCATCTAAACTATATAAATTTATATTTTTCTGATAGATTATCTCACGCTGAATCTTTATATCTACTAAACTTACCTTAACTTCAAATATTTTTCAAGAAATAACGATTTGAACGTAAATATTTGGACATTTTTCATCATTTTAGCGGGTTATTTTGGGTTTGAACATAAGGTTTATTTTCCTTTATTTTTTACCTAAACTTTATCAAGTTGTACTTTTCTGATAGACCAGGTCATGATGATTAAGAAAATATAACTTTTGTCATAGTACGATAGATATTTTTTATCCTAAATTACTTCGAAAAAATGTATATTGTGATAATCCAAAATATCGTATTCACAGTGGTTTCTTTTTTGAACATAAGTCTATTTACCCTTTAATTTTTAACCAAATTTTATGAAATTATATTTTTCTGATAGACCATTTTATGACGAATAAATAAATATGATTTTTGTCATAGTACTATAGTTATTTTATTTTTTTAATTATTATGAAAAAATGTTTTTTATGACCAACCAAAATATCGTAATTTTCACCCCATTTTTCGGTCTTAGGGTTGATAAAAATTTTCCAACGGTAAAATATGAGTAAGAATACCGTTCTGAAGATTTAAAAAAAAAATCAAGTCGATATGTGCAATATTAAAGAAAATAGATTTTCATAGATTTTTGTTAAAGCCCAGGCTGCTTACGCATAGCTGTGAATACGTTGTTTTTGAACTCTGCGCACCAAATGTAGTAGAAAAACTTTATTTCTCAACTATACTATATGAATTTATACTTTTCTGATAGATAATATCACACTGAATCTTTTTATGCACAAAACTTGCCTTAACTTCAAATATTTTTCAAGAAATAACGATTTGAACGTAAATATTTGGAAATTTTTCATCATTTTAGCGGGTTATTTTGGGTTTGAACATAAGGTTTATTTTCCTTTATTTTTTACCTAAACTTTATCAAGTTGTACTTTTCTGATAGACCAGGTCATGATGATTAAGAAAATATAACTTTTGTCATAGTACGATAGATATTTTTTATCCTAAATTACTTCGAAAAAATGTATATTGTGATAATCCAAAATATCGTATTTACAGTGGTTTCTTTTTTGAACATAAGTCTATTTATCCTTTAATTTTTACCCAAATTTTATGAAATTATATTTTTCTGATAGACCATTTTATGACAAACAAATACTTATGATTTTTGTCATTGTACTATATTTATTTTATTTTTTTAATTACTACGAAAAATTATTTTTTATGACCAACCAAAATATCGTAATTTTCACCCCATTTTTCGGTCTTAGGGTTGATAAAAATTTTCCAACGGTAAAATATGAGTAAGAATACCGTTCTGAAGATTTTAAAAAAAAAATCAAGTCGATATGTGCTATATTAAAGAAAATATTTTTTCGTAGATTTCTGTTGAAGTCCAGGCTTTTTAGCAAATATTTAGCAATCCCATCTACATCGGCAAGTTCAGAGAGGTGTTTCTCAACGGCAGGTAACATTGTGACGCCAAAAAGAAGTTGCCTTCTTCCTGAAAATGTAGACATGTTGGTATTCTTATACCAAAACAGAAAATGATATTTCTAGAATTATAGACTATAGTTCTTGATATGTTTAAGTATTATTATTATTATTATTGGTTATTCAACTGTGAATGACGTTTATAATTTATATTAAACGTTTAATAAATATCGTTATTAATTATATTAGTAAATCTTCATTATTTCTGAAATAATAAAATTCTTTTAAATGCACGTAGTGTATTTCACATTTTCACGTGTAGGATTTATAAATACACGAAATTCACGTGTAAGATTTTTAAATACACGAAATTCACGTGAATTACGTGAACTACGGATTACACGGTTTTCATCACGAATTTTTTAATTTCACGGGTTATAAGAGCTCTAGTATTTATATACCCAAGTCCTATTACCTAATATAATATATATTATAGACTATAAAGCATAGGTACCCCAAATAGGCATTTGGAAAATAATCATAAAGTAACGATTAATGATGGTCTTTTCTGTGGCTATTCTAAATATAAAAATTAGTATTTTTATTTTTGTAGCCATTTTGAGCCAGTGAGGCCAGGCTGCCTAAAAAAATATATCAGTGATATATCAATATTATCGTATGTTTAAAATATCAAAATATATCGATATATCAAAGCAAAATATCGATATTTGATATTATCGATATGTTACAGTTAAAACCCGAAATCCGTCGAAACTAGTTTTAACTAGTCAAAACTAGTTTCCACAAATCCCTTTAGTCATTTCTGGTTTTAACTAGTTAAAACTAGAATTCACAGCAGGTTCAAATAAGTCAGTAAAAACTAGTTTTAACTAAAATGCATGACAATAATATTATATTGTATTTAAACTCGTACTACATAAAACTCACGCGACCACAGACGATCTATAAATATTGCTCGATAATTATTTGACCGGTCGACTATTAAATCAATTAAGATAACTTTAACTAGTCGTCCAACACTTACATACGATATAACTTCGACAGATTATACCTACAATAATATTAATAATAATACGATATTGATCTAAAGGTCAGCTTATATCGTCGGCTGTGTTTCGCCATAGCGATTGTGTTCGTCGTAGTCGTTGTACCTACGTGTTTTTGTCTTGAATTGCCCGTTCTAAGTTGTTTTTTTCGCTCTCGTTGACATTCGCCGGTTTTGAAAATTGTCCTAAGGTCACTGTATACTTTGGTATCATGTTGGAAACTGAAAGAGAAATGAGTACCCGAGAACGGTTTCTTAAGAAGCTTATGGAATCGGTGGAAGGAAAAAAAGACAATCATTATAATATCATTACTAAAGATGCTTATGATTCGCTTCTAAAAGAGGTTGAGGATGCGATATCAGCCACTAAAAAAACCTCTGCTCAATATAGAAGGATCAAGCGATTCAATGTTTTGGAATTTGGCGATACAAAAAAGCTGGTAACCCGCGGAGAGCCAGTCAAATATTATTTGCCAATGGAAGACATTTTTTATGTCATTGATTTGTCACATATCGCTGTAGGGCATGGAGGGAGAGATCGTCTGAAGGTCGGAACTTCAAGAAATTACGCCAACATTACTACTGACATGATAAATATTTTTTTGTCTCTCTGTGAAACGTGCCAGAAAAAGAAAAAACTAGGAAAGAAAGAACTCGTTTCGAAACCAATTTTGCACACTGAATTAAATAGTAGATGTCAAATAGATTTGATAGACATGCAGTCAAAACCTGATGCACAGTTTAAGTTTATACTTAATTATCAGGATCATCTGACAAAATTCGTTCTGCTCCGCCCCTTGCAGACCAAGCGTGCAGAAGAAGTTGCAAGCCATTTATTAGACATTTTTTTAACATTTGGTGCTCCGGTTCTTCTTCATTCAGACAATGGGAGAGAATTTATTAACAATGTGATTACAGAGCTGACAGGGCTATGGCCAGAGTTAAAAATCGTGCACGGAAAACCTAGGCATTCGCAAAGCCAAGGCTCCGTAGAGCGTGCCAACCAAGACGTGGAACGAATGCTCGCTTCTTGGATGACAGACAATAAATACTCTAATTGGTCTATCGGATTAAAGTTTGTACAATTTATGAAAAATAGAGCACACCACGCCGGGATAAATATGACACCTTATAAAGCAATGTTTGGGGTTGATCCAAGAGTGGGGCTCGTAACCTCTAACCTCCCCAATGATTTGATTGCTACTATAAACGTCGAGGATGAACTGGAAAATCTTATATGTACTGAAACTGGAAGTGAAAATAAGATTGAGCAGGAAGCTGCAGGTAAACATTTTTATTATTTTTTTAAAAATTATATTAAGTTAAATATTCAAATTTATTTTAATATTCCCAAATCAATTTTTTGCTCAAAAATTGCTAAAACAATTTTTAGGGACATTGTATTGCGGTTAAAATGCATTTTTTATTTACATATTTTATAATTTAAAAACCATAAACATTTTTCGATAACTTTTAAATTATTTTTCAGTTAGAAAAATTGTAAAACATAAACACGGTTTATTTCTTTGATATGTTTCAGATACCTCTTTTATAGGTGCAATTAGAAAAGAAGCTCATGAAAATTTGGAAAAACAGGCAGCCCGAATGATGACTCGATCAGAAAAAAAATTTCCCGCCGTTGATGTTGGTGTCAACGTAGTAATCCGCATTCCAGATGTTGACAAAGGCAAAACAGATCATCCTAATCTCATCGGAGTGGTGTTAGAAAAAACAGAGCACGATCTATACAGAATCGGAAGTAAGGATGGAGTTCTAGAAAAACTTTATTGTAGGTGCGTCCATTATCACATTTTCATACACCAAATAAAATAAAATTAGTAAATAGTTACTAATCAGAAAAAAATTGTTTCAGATCTGAATTTATAACATGCGAAGAAAAATTTATCATAGAGAATCAAGTTCCAAAAAATCATATTTCCCTCCGTGCAGCCGCAACAAAAGCATTCACGGGGTCAGGGCAAGGCTTTGTAAGATGCACATGTAAAACGTCCTGCGGAACAAATCGCTGTTTATGTAGAAAAAATAAAATACTATGCAATTCTAAATGCCACAATAGTTTGTCCTGTCAAAATAAATAATAATATAATAAATTCCTATAATAATTATTCTAATGTGTACTTATATTTCTACTTTTCCCTAGTTAAAACTAGTTTAACATATCAATATAAAAATTAAGGATTTTAACTAGATAATTCTAGTTTTCACCAATATATTTTATATACAACTAGTTTTGATGGTGATGGTCTTAGTAAATTCTAGTTTTAACTAGTTAAAACCAGAAATGACTAAAGGGATTTGTGGAAACTAGTTTTGACTAGTTAAAACTAGTTTCGACGGATTTCGGGTTTTAACTGTAACAGATATATCAAGCCCATACCTACTCCAAAATAGTTTGATTCTATCAACAAAGCAAGTAGAACAAAAATTAATCAACTTGATTTCAAAAGAGAAATCGTAAGTGTTTATTAAACAAAGCAATTGAAAAACGATCGAATTCAATATTTTCGACTGATTGTCGGGTTTCAGACTCAATCAGATTTGACAAAATAGATCATCTGGTAAAGCAAACTGAAGATAAAAAAAAGAAAAGTGCTCAAAATGCAATGATTATGTGCCGATTGTTTTATTCCATTTCATTCTAGATGAATACAAAAAAAGTGTATTGTACAATATGTAACAAATTTATTTATTTTTTACTTAAATTTAATATTGTATTACAACAGTACCTATCTTGAACAAAGTAGTAACGAAATATGTTATACTTATATTTTTTTGTTATAAAACGGAAAACAAATATGAGAAAATATTACAAAAATAATTTATTGTATTTTCATGAAATAAGTTGTTATAAGCTCCTAGCGTTGTCTTATGGCAACGTCTTTTATCTCAAAAACTAATGAAAATATTTTTATTTTTTTTATAATTATTTTTGAGGTTTAATACGTTTTCAACAAAATTGTTGGTTAAAATTGTAAATAAAAAAACTCCGGCGCTAATGGGTTAAATGCCAAACTGTTGGTTGTTTAATACCAATTAAATGGGAAAATCGATTGTTCCATCCTTCTGTAACATTATTTGTTCTGTGTCTATTACTATAATTCGAGATTTTAGTTTGATGTACATTCCATGTACAATGTGGGATGTGGGAAAGCTGGAGGAATCCTTCCTTTATTGCACTCGCCTGTCCCTATTATTTTAAAAGTTCCATTAACATATGTTGATTCAAAATATATCAAGAAATCTTCTGCTCCAGTTGGTATATTTTGTTTTAAATACTCCATGCCGTTTTTAACATCATCTAAAGGGAGAAAAGCCAGACTATCAACCATAGTACAGAACTTCCGGAATACTTTGTAATTTTTATATTGTTTGGAAAAGCCTAATTCTTGTAATTTGCGAAACGTTGATTGACAGAGGTGATAAAAACATCCTCCAATATGGTTGCCCAAAATCACTTTGCAGCATTCATCACTGCTAGTTTGAAATCCATATTTAAAAAAGCAGGATCGTGATATTTTCCCTTTTTCACACTATTGTCATTATTGTCCACGGTTATCTACGATCATAGATAATATAAGAATGGATAGGACATGCCTATACCAGTTCCATATGAGGCCGTGTGCTTTTTTGGGGAAGAGAGAACGTAAAGAGAGAAAGACTATATGAGGCTGTTTAAGGTTATGTGCAAAACTATTTTATTAAATAATAATAATAATAACATGATAGTCAGTTATATTTAGATATTTGTCAGTTTGTATTTTGATTGTTGTGCCACCTGTGCCTGGAAAATGGAAATTGGAAAATAATATTTTAACAAAATGAAATTATATAAATTTTATTTATTATTATTTATCAATTATCATATCAATATTTGCCTTATATAACCTTAAAAATAGTATCACTAAATGTTCATGTGATAAGTTCTTATGTCCTATCTATTCTTATATTATCTATGTCTACGATTTACTCGAGTTGCGAAACGAGGCGTGATAACGCGCCTCAAAGCGGTGTATTAGTGAACTATAGCGCTAATAGTACTTGTCCCGTCTACTGAGCACCGATCACGAATTATACCACGTACAATTTAAGTAATATATTGATCAACGTCATTATATTTTTATTACTTAGTTGTAAGTTGATTTTCATAAATTTATTTTAGTTTCTATTGAACTTGAACTATATACTTACCTATTGGTAGAGTGGTTTTCAGTAATATTATTAATTATATAGGTATTTGAGGTATTTTGTAGGTACCTACCTAAAATTGTTTTGAATAAAAACTAAAATTCCAATTATAATTTCTTAAAATAAAAAAACAATTTTTTTTTTGTTACAGTTTTATTGATCAAACCAAACTTGAACCAATTGTCTTTATAGCTTATATAAAACTAATTTAGAACAACAAATGGATAAAACCATGATAACAATTATAATATTTTAAAATCTTGTATAATATTATACAAAGCAGAACAGAAAGACTTGACAAATGAAATAGGTAACTTTTGTTCTAATCAATATTTTTAATTAGTAAGTAACTTATTAATTTGTAAAGTAAATATATTTCAAATAATTAATTAGATTTTAACATGTACTTAAAAATTCTTATAAAATATTTTTAAAAAGTTTATACTAAACCTTATATACAAATTATCTAATTATAAATTATTTACAAATTGGATATTTTGAATTTTTCAAAAAAATTGTACATCAGATTTAACATTTATTTTTTTCAGTTTTAAAATATAAAAATAAAAAATGCTATATTATATAATAATCAATTATACATTATTACAAAAAAAAATATTGAATGTAACAATAATTATTTTAGTTATCAGGTTTTCCTGTTACATCCTGTATGTAGGACGTAGGCGCTAAAAGCTTATAGATATAAAACAATAACTTTAAAGTGTTAGATTCTTTGGGTATCTAACAGAAATGTCTTTAACTTGTAGCAATAATACATCAATAGTTTATTGAAATTAATAATAATATTATAGCTATAAAAGTACTTATCAAGCAAACAGCAAAGGCAATAAAACCCTGTTTTAAATGTTTATTTGAAGTAAAAGATTATGTACTACATAATTTTGACTGTTTTTTCTTTTTCCTGGATAATTATTAGCACTTGAGATTTTCTTGATAGCTATACTGTCTCATTCTCATTTGAAAATACTATACAATTAGTTCTGTAGTAACTTCTACCAAGTGCTCGCCACTTGAGAATTTAAAATTAATTCTCTATGCCACTTATAACTTTTTCAAATACATCTAAAACACCACAATATTTAGCAAAAGAATGTTCAACAGATTTCAAAAAATCAAACAAATATCTATTAGGATGAACTAATAAACCTCTAGATTAGACAACAACGAGTTCTCCTGCAGAGTGTGTAACAATACCATTATTTAAAAACGCAATGCATTAGCTACATTTTTTGTGTTTAAGGGGATACGATACCGTGATTTTCTGTTTTTGTCTAACACACGCGCGACATAGTATTTTAGATGTGTTTTTTGCCAAACATACCAATTGATCTAATGAAGCGATAAGAATTCTGAAAACAGATTTGAATTTGTTGTCAAGTCTACTTTAAATCGACTTTCCCACATTTTTGATATTATCCCCAAAATGTTTTAAAATGTCATATTCAAAAAGAGTATTTCAAAATTCTGTTATTTCAATTTTTTGAGAAGTTAAAATCAAAAAATCAAAAATTTGGGAAAGTCGATTTCAAGTAGACTTGACGACAAATTCAAATCTGCTTTCAGAAATCTTATCGCTTCAATAGATCAATTGGAATGTTTGGCAAAAAACACGTTTAAAATACTATGTCACGCGTGTGTTAGACAAAAACAGAAAATCACGGTATCGAATCCCCTTAAGTAAAGATTTTCTTGTTGTTTTAAAATTAAATGTTTGTCGTAGTGTTTGAATTTATTTTTAAAATTAATAAAATGCATTTTAATTATTCTGTAATAAATTAAACCATCAGAACAAATAGCACTAGGAGAATAGGTATTGAACACCGAAAGAAAATCTAATATGTGTTTAATATTACAACATTTCATGTATAACAAAACAACATCTTTCATATTGAGTATACTATTTCCTATTCTATAAAGAAATATTTAAATTATAAATAAATGTGTATTTAATTGTTAAAACTTTCAAACTAAACACGATCCGTTGCTTGCAACCATGTTTAATTTTGTATAATCAATATTTTGGAATATATACTCTAACATTTTAAAAAATTGACTATTGTTCTTTAATTCTTATTTTTTACAAATTCCCAGAATTGATATGGTAATTTATTATTTTCAAATATATCGATAATTGAATTAAAATCTGAACTGTGGTACAGTATTTTGTGACATCCAACTTCAAATTGTTTGTTACAGTAGAAACTTCAAAATTAAATAAAATCTAGGTATTATAATACTTATAACAATTTGTTAGAAAGTAAAACTCAATAAAAAAAAGGTGGGCAAGTGGGTGTCGCTCTGCTGTACAGTAGGTTACAAGTGGGTCACTGTATAATGGATGGTATTAAATTTGAATTCAATGATATAATATCATTGTATAAGAAAAACGATTCTGAGCGGTGACGGTATGTCAGTCTATGTATAAGACATATTATATACATATCTATGGTATTAAACCAAAATTGACCTATAATAGGTACCTATAATAAATTACAAACTAATCATATCACAATATCCATTAGATACTTATAACGCGTTATACATCAACAAAAACCGTGATACTATCATAGATATATAATAGTACACTTTAGAAGTTTCAAGTACCCACGAATAATATTATTCAATCAAAACGAAATAACTAAAATCGTAATTCTTGGTTTAAATATGAAATTTTGTCTAAATTTGAAATTAAAATGTCTGTAAAAAATAAGTGTGTTTATATATTTTTTAGATTTTTTGGTTACAGTATGAATTATTTAAGAGAATCTTTGTCTTAAATTTTCAACTCTTAGTTATAAAAACTGAACATTTTATAATTTTTTAATTCCAACGATTGATAATTTTCGAGATTTTGATAAATTTTGTCAAAATTCCAACTTTAAAGGCTTATAAAAAAAAATCGTGCCTATGTATTTTTAAAATTTTTCAACTGATATTGTAACAATATATAAGAAAGCTTGTATTAAATTTTCAGACTTTTTGGCCCACCAAATAAAATTTTATTGACAATTATAAAAAAAAAAACTAAAAAAATTGAAAACTGAAAATGTCCGTAAACAGCTCAAAAAGAGTCAAAATCTTTTCAAAATTGTATGGTGTATAGGAAATGCTAATATAAACATTCAGTGAAATTTTCATGTATCTACAGTTATTCGTTTTTGAATTACAACAAAATAAGGAAATCGCTACATGAGAAATCGAGTGAAAATCCAATGTTGTAAAAATTTGAATTTCAAACGCTCATAAAAATTTAATTTGACTGTCCGGTAGAGATTTTTTTATTGATAAAGGTAGATAATCTTATAAGGAATCTTGTGTTTCATTTTCAAATCTTAGATTTAAAAACAAAAATTTTGACGAATTCTTAACTCAAAATAATTTGCTAATTTTCGTGATTTTTTCATATTTTGTCAATTTTTGAACTTTAAATGCTTATAAAAAAAAATTGTGACTAAGGATTTTTAATATTTTTCATCTGCCTTTGAAACAACATATTAGGAGCCTTCTATTAAATTTTCAAGCTTTCGCAACCAACAAATAAAATTTTATTGATATTTTTAGAAAAAAAACTAAAAAAAAATGGAAAATGAAAATGTCCCTAAACAGTTCAAAATAAATCAAAATATTTTGAAAATTTTATCGTGTATAGAAAATGCAAATATAAACAACCAGTGAAAATTTCAAGGGTCTACGGTCATTTGTTTTAAAGTTACACCAAAAACCAAATTCGATTTTTCGAAAAATCGATTTTGCGTAAAAATTCCCGTTTTTCCTTAATTTTTATGTTGTTTTTCCCGGCGCTTGTGAAAACTACTGGAAAATGTTTACTTTTGACCCCCCAAAGTACCAACTAGATTCACTTTCCTATCAGAAAAGGTACTATTGAAGAAAATCGAAGCACTTTTACTGTCCCAAAACGTGATGACAGACACAAAAATATAAAAATATAAAAATATAAAAAAAAACATACATCATTGTAAAACCAATACATTCATCGCTCCGCTCAGAATCTAAAATGGCCATACAATGCTCTCACCTATCAAACAGTGTAATTACATTTTTATATTGTACACTATTCAATTGATTTTGTATGGCTTGACAGGCTGCAATTTTTACTGATTTATTTTTCTTATTATATTTCTTCTGTTCCGATATGTATTTTTGTGCCAAATCATTTGGATTTTTAATCAAACTATTATTTTTACTGAATTTAAATAATTCTATAATTTCATTACTCATTTGATATTATACAAAATCATTATTACTAATAATGCTTTGGATGATACAAGCATTATTTAAATATTTCGCCACATTGATTTTGTACACAGCAAAACTTTTCAGAATTATAGTTATCTGCTCTATACTCAAAACAATTGGGTCAAGTTCAATATCAAAAAAATTTACCCCAAAATTAACTGCAGACGCAATTTTCTGTGATATTTCCTTAAAATATAAACAAACTAATTTTTAATTTAAATAAATCAAATCACATTTGAAACGATTTAACCTTACATCCTTGAAAATCACTTTTGTCTTAAGGTGACGTCTGTTAAATTTTGACTTTATCTCACAAACGTTGTTATTGTATCCTTCATCAGGATCTGGATAATTAAATATAATTGGCTCATCGTGTTGTTCTATTAATTTAATTTATTTTAGTTTTATTTATTTTTATTTATAATATTATGAAATAATTACTCACCAATAAAATCTGAACATTTTACATGATTGAAAATATTTTTGTACTATTTTATTTCAATGATGTCTAGTTTCGCTAAATTAAACATAACCAATGTCCTTTTTTGGAAATTAATTCAAATTCAATTCTCACAAAAAAATAAAAAAAATATATTGACGGTCACAATATCAGAGTTCACAAACTCAAACCATGGACAACGGATCAATATATAGCACACGGTTGAAGTGAAGAACAAACGTCAATATGCAGGGAAGACCTGACGAGTCTCCGGTTTACAATCTATTTAAGTACCTATACTATAGTATAATTGTGTGCTGTGGCTATATGTCAAGCGTCAATATGTCTCTGATATCGATTAGATAAAATGACTGGAATGTCAATAATTTAACACCGTTTTTGGCGGTCCAAAGTACATTCCAATATCGCGGTAGAGCATATTATGAGTTCGCCTTGCATAAAGTCCGAAAAAAAAATTACAGTAAATCCAAATTTCAAACAACCAGTTCAAATGTTATCCCTAAAAACTTATTCTCAGGATAGCAGACAATCTTCCCTTTCTAGGGACGTATTTTTTATAGCTGTAGGAACGTCGGTTGTTTTTTAATAATTTATCGGCGTATAGTTATACACAAGATTACAATATGACGTTTTCTGGAAACTCGACCTTACCTCCACTGTATGCTAATGTTATGTTCCAAAATGCATCCCCAGAATAGCAGTGACGCTAACAAGGCAGGGATATTATTGGCTCAGTCGTAGTACAATATTTCGATTTTTAATGCATTATAAACCGAATCGTTTCTACCGGAGTAGAGTATATTACGTCTAATTGATACATATCTTACGAAAAAAATATATAAAAAATCCAAATTTGGTACTACAGCTTTGAAAATGAATCACTCGACTCCAATTGACTTACTCTATATGCCCAAATAGTAAATTGTTAAGCAGACCTGATACTATAGGTTTCCAGTTTCAGAACCAAAAAAATCGAACTTTAAATGCTGAATACTTTCCGGTTACTTTGGAAACATGCCTGGGTTAAAACCTATGGTTCTGAGTGGCAATGGTTCAGAAGGCACCGGAAAGTGTTCAGCATTTAAAGTTCGATTTTTTTATAGTTTAAGTTAGTAAACTTAATCCTGTTATATATGTATTCCTGTCAGATATTAATCCTAAGTATATGATAATCCTGTTATTCATGTAATCCTGATGGTAATCCTGTTATATATGTAATCCTGAGTATATGGTAATCCTGTTATATTGTTATAAATGCAAAAATAAGATTATATATCTACCATAATTGTAGTGTCCATGCAATCAGGTGAATATATTTTTGTTTCAACTTTTCCTTTCCCAAGTTTTAAAAAATAAACTTGTTCGCGTGACGTAGTTCATGAAATAAGAAGAACTAGGAGATATCGTATCGTCTTCGCGACTAATCGTCTTCTCCAACAATTATTGCATTTTTAGTCATAGTAGAATCATTAAAAACAACTTCCAAAGACCCAATAACTGACTCACATCGATGACGCTGTTCCATTGCCTTTATGTTTTTACAATTATCGTCATATCCATAAAATACAACATACAACATGCACAAATGATTTTTCAAATATTGAATATAATATTTATTTAATATACAATCATAAGTTTCACGCTGATGAAATACAACACGATGCAAAAGAAATCCACCGTCAATAGAGGTTGAGTTAGAAGTATCCAATTCAACAACACTTGGTTTAAAACAGTTGAATAATGCCGATTTATTAGTTTTCCGCATACCTATTTCGTCAAATAGAGCCAAAGGTATGGAGATAATTCAAATTGTAAATATTCATGTATTTTTTACACAATTACTAATGCTTTGAAACAGTAGTAGAGGATCTATAGGAATTGAATAGTTATGAACTTTAATAGAGCTTTTAACACTTAACAGTTCAGCAGGCGCGTGCCTGTTTTTAACGTTCATAGTCGCATGGGGGTCTATCAGACCCCATTTCTAAAAATGCGTAACATAAGTACAGAAAATTATTTTTTTTAAATTTGAAGACATAATTGGTTACTATATGATACAAAAATATCTATAAAAATGTAATAAGAAAAAATAAAATAAAAGTAAACACAAAATTATGTTAGTTAGGTACTAAAAATTAAATTACGAAAAAAAAAATAAAACAAAACTTGACAACATCATATTAAAATGTTGGTTTGTAAAAAAAATATTTAAAAATCTTATTTTTTGGACAACAAAAAAAAGTTCTTACTTGAACAGAATTTGTTTTACACTAATTTTTCTTATATTTCATTGAACTCAAATGTGTCATGTATTTATAAATTGTTTGTGTATTTCAACTATAGAACCATTTTTCTTAGTTTAATTTTAAATCTTATTATTATGCAAAACATTTTATTATTATATTTATAACTATTCCGAATCTGTTGAACATTGATTTTTCTCAAAACAATCCTTAAATACTGTTTCCATATGTTTGAGGCACCTGGCACATGTATAATTGACATGAATTTGTTGTTTTTATATCTTTGTCCCTTGGACAAACAGCACATCTTCCTCGTATTCCTACAACTTTTGAACATTCAGGGAGTTTTTCTTCACCAGAAGATTTAGACGCCTTTTGTCTGAGAGACCTTGGAATATATTTTGAAACTGCTCGTTTTTTCAGCGAAACCTTTAGTAATGATAAGCCCACTTCTTCTAAAAATTTTCTTCGAATAAGTTTATTGTTTCGGTTATTTGTAGAAAAAATAACTTCAGCATTTATACCAGCCAAGTCTATAAGCCGGAAAAATAACACCAAAGGCCAACGCCTTACTTTACGTGACACTGAATAAGTAGAACACATTTCATCTATTGTGTGAACTCCTGTATTGTTATAAAAAAGTATGATTTCGGGCTTAGAATTATGTTCTGGCTGTTCAGAAATAGAACCATCAAGATGCATAATAGATAGCATAATTACATTTTTGTTTTTTTTTTTGGTATGTATGAAGCTATTGTCATTTGTTTCCAAAACCAAACAAGGTGAAATTATCCACTCTATTTTTAGTAGAAACAAATTGTATTGGCAGTTCTTTTTTATTTTTTCTAAGAGCTCTTTCGCCAACGGAATACTGCTAAACCAATTATCAGCCGTAATATTACGCCCAGAATCATAAATTGGACGAGATAGTCGAAGTACAACATCAGTGGCTGAATTAGATATTTTATAAGGCCCCTCTTTTTGTTTACCTGTATACAATTCCATATTGAGAGTATACCAAGTTTGTGCGTCACAAATAATTTGAATTTTTAAACCATATTTAGCAGGTTTACTTGGTATATATACTCGTCAGTTTTAATTACGTCTCTACTATGATCGAATTTGTGAGATATACGATCATTGTATAAATTCGTACAAAATACAACACTTTTGATTATATTATGGTTTATAAAAAACAGTCAATAGGACTTTTACAATTTTTTGCTTCACCTTTCACACCAGCCGGAACACGAATAATATTTTGTTCTCTTGCTCTAGTATTATTTCTGGTAGGGAATGTTTTAGCCGATTTTGTTATCTTATCTTTGCCCCGAAAATATTGTCTGTTACCTGTTGACGAAGATTCGGAATAGGTTTCATTATTTTCACTGCCTGAACTTGAATCATTTGTCTCTGTATCGCTATTGTTTTCATCAAGTTCTAATGTATCAGACAATTCAGAGCCCATGTCATTCTCAAAATTATTTTCGTTTTCATTGGGTGTTGCCGCTGTCAGCTCTTATTAATATAAAATAAGTTGTGCCTTCACGACTGAATCATATATGCTTGTAGAATATAAAATGAAAAAAAAACAATGTGTGTTGGCAGTTCTGTAATTTTTTATTGAGCAATGATAATAATAATTTGTTTTTCTTTTAATTAAATAAATAAAATAATAAATTGCCAGGCAGGTTTCTAATAATTAAGTATGATATAAATATAATATGTAGCCTCTTGGCTTTTAACAATAATACAATAATTCAAATAATACAAATAATAATAATACAAAGTTTCTGACTAGAATATGAATGACTAATATAATAAATAATAATATGCAGCTCGTCAGCTGATTACCTTTAGAACTCAGACGAATAAATCACAGTGTACATGCAAATCACAAATGGCAAAAATTCACGTGCTCCTGTAAGTATCTCTTTGAACGCCCTGAATTGGGGAATAATATTAATGAAAGAACTAAAACAAATGACTGAACGATACTTACAGAAGGCAATTCACAGATGATGTACACAAAATGATTAACTGAATGATGATTGATGAATGTATTGTATAGAATGAAATTGAATGTCTATGACTCTATGAATTCTATTTTAAAAAATGAATTAAATACTGACGACTGACTGAACACAGAACAACCGTGCACCTCGGAGGTCGTGTGAAAAAGGGACGAGTTTTACATTAACGGACATACAAAATGCAACGAGAACTGTACGAATGGGCTTTCAGTGTCACCACACTAAAACAATTAAACATGAAAAAACTAATAACTTTGTGACACTGAAAGCATGACTTGACGAGAAAAAACTTTGAACGAATAATATGACTTTTGAAAACATAAATTGATAACGGTCACGCAGCTGGCCGTTCGCACACGGAAACATGATAAGAATTTATTTGATTACGGCTGCAGCTGCGGACCGCACCGTTGCATGCACATGAAGAAAAAATGATGACAGAAAACAAAATGAAAATGACAATCTTAAACATGAACATTGGGAATATCTTCATTTAGCAAATGTTGAATCCGCTGTATTTCTGATTGACTGGTCATTATTATCTGGATTAAATTTATTACCTACTTGTTAGTTAGGAACAATATATAAAAGAAATATATATATATTCGCTTACCTTTGTATATTATTGAATAATTGAATAAAACGAACTTTTCATAAGGTACCTTATAAAGTAAATGTCTAATAATTGTATAATCTATATATATATAAAACTGAAATCAAGCAAAAGAGGAAATCTTTGTTACGGTTTGGCTTTGAAACTTCTTATCCAATTGTCGTGCAGTTTTTTTAAATGAAAGAGAATATGACGGAGCAGGTTTTAGGCATAAATAAAGTCCGATAATGTTAGTCAATAAAATTAGTTATCTATACATATAAAATCCAAATACCACTGACTCACTGATCGCTGTATCTCAAAAACTACTCAACGTACGGACTTGAAATTTGGAATAGAGGTTCTTCTCATATTTTCACCGTTCAATAAGATGGATTTGCCAAAATTCGCATTTTAAATAGGTGCTCAAACAGGTTAGGTTAAATTTTTTTAAGAGTTGCGATTTTTTACGAGCAACCAAATTTGTTATATTAATCCACCGTATTATATCAAAATAAACTTGGTATAACTTTGATACTTTAGAGTTAAATCATACACATCCGCACAAACAGCACGGGGTCCGCGATCTACCGCAGGTAGATTGGCTACCTGATAATGTACTGCTGCAATTCAGAATTTTTATTCCGGGCAACGGAAAAGATAAGATAAATTTTGAACACTATACACCGAATATTGAATAACAAATTGAACAAAGTTTGAGTCATATTGAGTTGATACATTTAAAGGGCGACGAAGTGCACGGGATCAGCTAGTACTGTATAATGCGTGGTGTCATACCACCACGTTCATAGCAAAATAACATTACAATTTAACCATCATAAAATTAATGGACGACGTAAAACTAATAATCAACTGTTCAAAAGTAGATGAGTATGTATCACGTAAAAACCATTTATTTTAGGAACGTTATCGCACAATCAGCCATGTGTATATAATATATAATTATCATTATGAAAATACAAGTCCAAAAAAAATATATGACGGTACAACTCGCGTGGCGGTAATTATGACCCAATCCCATGTTGAAGCCCAACTTGAAGCTGTTTGACATGTTTAAAACTTTCTATTTGAGTACTTTTTTCCTCGTGAAACTCCTCCTTCAGTCTTCATTGATTTCAATAGTGATTGCTCGATTACCATATCACTCAAAGTTCCACAGTTAAATTTATTATTGCGTCTAATTGTAAAAAACCCATCAGTAAATTTTTTAAACGCTTGTTGGTCCATATTGTATTGTAGTTTAAGCATATTCTGCAAATATAAATATGCGGATTTTGCATATATATAGTGTCCAGATGCATGAAAAAAGGGAGCATTTTTTCACAGCATTTAAGTGTCCTTGCCAATTTCCTAATCTTTCAGATCTGATAAAGTCTTTGAGTTTAGATACCATTTGAAAATATTGAACCCATAATTTTACTGTGGGTCCTCGAATTTGTATATTTTTTAAAGTAGCATTAAACTGTTCTATATATGGTTCTAGTATACTGCTAGAACCTTCTACATCTTCGTATGAACAATTTTTTTTAATTATTTGATTAATATAAGCTCTCAAATATTCGTCAGTAGAGTCATCTATTTGTGTATATTCAGCAACAATGGTTGATAACACTAAGTGAAGTAATATGTGACCTCTAACTGCTCTTGAATAAGCATGCCCATTTAATATTTTATCCACAGAATTTGGAGCATAAATTACACTAAGAGCTTCTTTAAGTCCACTGCCTGCCATTATATATCCAATTGATCCAAGAAAAGATACGAGTAAGTGAAAACCTCCGAGTCGTATTATAACTTTTGATAATTCTGAACATGGTTTAGAGGCTGCAACTATTTCTCAAGCTTTTATAAACAATGGTTGATCAAAAGTCACGACACATGTTTCATGGCCATAATAGCCGAACGCGTTTTCCCACATGCTAATTCCGATTTTAGTTCCGACGCCTTCACGCCATCGTCGACCAGTTCATCGTTTTCGACAGAAGTAATGGTGTCGCTTGCCTCACAGCTGTATCATCGTCGGTCCGGGACAACAGCACCGTCGCCACCTGCTATCAACCCCAGCATATCAGATCGTACACACTTTTTCAATTTGTTGTCAATAGTTATTGGTTACCTTCCGTGTTTACTATTCGCAATACGCGAACTTCGAATTCTTATTATTTATTTTGTATTGAGGTATACTTATTATATTGTTTTGCCGATCGGCTTGTGATTGTGCAACGTTTATTATTATTACTAACCCTAGAGCTAAGATAAAAACTACAGACCACAACAAGAAATTGTTCTGTACATTTTACTTCTAAACGATTGTTCTATGTTGTAGTGTACCTCGCATCATCACTACATTATTAAAATTTTTATATTTGAACCAGCTTCCTCTTTCCCAATTTTCAAATACAGTCCACTTTCACTCTCTTTATTTCTCTCTTTCCAGTTACCGATACGACGAAAATATCAAACGACACGGGGTGCATGTAAGCAGTCACCTGCGCACACACACACGCACACTCGTCATCCGGCTTTACATATGCAGCCGTTCAATCTCGCACATTGTTTGGACCTAACCTGATTGTTTTTGTTTTCGTTTGATTGTCGTTCGTCACAATCATATTTAAATATTTTGTAATTTTACCTAACTTCGTAACTCTGTCGTCGTGCCTCCAAGAAAGGAAGAGTATCCGGATATCGTTTTGACCGGAGCGCGCGCCAAACGTGATGTCGTATTTTAGGTAATCAAACGTATGCACGCTACAGCATTGGTGGCACGCACTGATATCGATAAGATACCATCACTGATCACTCATTGCTCACGCCGAGGAGTTAAATAATCTCGTCAAACAATTCCAAAATCAACAAGATTTTATTATTAATGGTTTACTAGGCGTGAACCGTTTTACCGAATTTGAACAGGATGATTGTCCGGTGTTTTTGTCTATGGATTCCATGAGTCTCGAAATAAAAACAAGTGTCGCGAGTGTCGTTCCTGCGAGTGCCGTCGAAACACGCCATCGAAAACAAAAGAAATTTATAAACAAATGTGGGAAACATTAAACGATTTATGTTTAAATTATGCCAATAGAGTAAGATAGTAATGACGTCATGATAATATAATAAGTTGGTGATAAGAATGCTTGGTTCCAAACAAAGCGATTTCTGTATGAGAATTATGCATAGTTTTAAAGTTTTCACAGAAAAATAGCATTAATAAAGTTAAGTTACCTTAAACAAGTTACGGTGTACAGTATTTGTGTTCTTAAATTTTTTTTTTTTTATAAAAATCTTTAATATTGATTTATTTTGACCATTGTTAAATTACGTAATTACTTAACGTTTGACTGCAGGTGGGTTTAAAAAATAGTTGTGTATATAAATATATTTTTATTACAAATCCATATTTTTAAAGGTATTTTGCTTAATAGGTACAATGTTATTACTTTTTTTAATTTATTTTATAGGTAGTTCATTATGGTCAATTGTTTTGTACCAAATTGCAACCATTACAGCGAAACAAAAGTATGTAAATTTTTTAGATTTCCTGCGAATAAATTGTTGAAATTAAAATGGACACAAAATATAAGGTAGCTATTAGTTATATTCATTTATTTTGATTGTTAAATATACTATATCTAAATTGTATACCTAGGTTGTATGTGTTACCTATATTTCATAATTAGAATTTAATTGAATGTATATTATGTTGATATTTTTAAGGAGGTCTGACAGATGTCCAAGTGTGAACTCCCGAGTATGTAGCTGTCATTTTATTGATGGATTAAAAGAAAATAATCCAACAATATTCAGTTGGAATAAAGAAAAATAATTTTTGTTTGTTTCCCCAGAGAAAAAAAATAAAAGGAAACCAAAACCTACCTCAGTATGTTAAATTTGTATTTAACATTTAATATTTACATTTCCATAGCAAGCTTTGGGTTAAAATAAAATTAAGTGTTGATGTTTAGTACCTAGTTACATAATATGCAACATATTATATTATATTCACTATTTTTTATTAAACAACATTTTCAAAAGTGTGGTTTTCTTTGAATTTGAGTTTAAACCTTTAAGTTTTATTTGAATTTAAATTAATACTTAAATAGAAACCAATCGCTATTTAATTTAATTATTATCTCGTTTTTCTCTTTAGTTTTATAATCATTTTCTATACTTTGGTTTTTTAAAATACCTATTGAACATAATCTACATAAACATCAGCATACAAACAACACCCACAAATATAGAATAATATAATTAATATAAATAATATAATTATTAAATAAAACTATATTTATTATATTATTGAGAAAATATTTTAAATAATAATTTATTAGGTACTTATTATTTTTATTTTTTTTCTTGTAGAAAACAGTAGTTGCCAATGAAGAAGAATTACCTGATGAAATTGAAGAAAATTCTTCAGAAGTATAGTATCTCTATCTCAATCAGATATTGATATTGAGTCACAGATAAACTTATATGAATCTACCAAGCACAATGAAGAGAATTCAGTTTTAAATTTAAATGTTAAGTCGGTTGGATCCATTATTAATGAATCAGAAAATGTCCTTTTAAAGATTGAAATTGAGATACTTAATTCTACAATAAACAGTCTAAAAAAACAACCATTCTCGTTTGAATTTATAGAGAACAATGATGAAGTAATAACGTACTATACTGGAATGCCTAATAAGACTGTGATTTATTTATTATTTGATATTTTTAAAAATGTTTCGATAAATTATTTCTTAGGGTGGAACGTGGAAAGAATCAGTAGAACAGATCAAATTTTTATGACACTTATGAAATTACGTCATAACTTTGATTTCACAGATTTAGGAGTTAGATTTGGGTGTAGTCGTACAACTGTTACAAATATAGTATTGACTTAGATTCACGCATTTCATACTATAATATTTAAGACTTTCATGAATTCTATTCTGAGTCAACAAAAAAATAAAGCATGTTTACCCAGTGTTTTTAATAATTTTATGAACTGTCGTATGATTTTGGACTGTACAGAAATACATACAGCAATACCAAGTACAATGGAACTACAAAAACTAACCTATAGCAATTATAAACACCGAAATACATTAAAAGGTCTAGTAGGAATTGCACCCAACGGGGTTTTGACTTTTTGTAGTTTGCTATACCCCGGATCGACATATGATAAACAAATAGTTAAACATTCTGGTGTTATAGATGTGTTTAATAGTGGTGATCTTATATTAGCTGATAAAGGATCTCTTATAAGTGACTTATTGCCTGAAGGAGTATCATTAAATATACCTCCATTTTTGGGTGAAACCTCAATTTACACCAAATCAAGTGATGAAAACATCGACTATAGCGAGAGCTAGAGTTCATGTTGAACGTGCTATAAATCGTATAAAGGGATATTCTATCTTAGAATTTATCCCTCCAAAATTATTACCATATTCTTCAATAATATTTCAAGTATGTGGAGCCTTATCAAATTTCCAATATCCTCTTATTAAAGAAGTAGAAATGTTTTATTTACAACCAAAAGAAAATTAAAAGTTATACTTATATTTTTATAGAATATTAAAATGTAATTTTCAACTGCTATATATTTGTAATAAACTTGTATGTAACACTTTATATAATAAATTATGATTTAATTAAAAAATCAACTACTTAGTTTTTTTTATTGGTTTAGTTTCTCTAGATAACAATAGACAATGCTTAGATTAAAAGAAGTGAACAATACTGTTCTCTATCTGTAGCATTCTCAAATTCTGAATATCTAATAATTTCGTCTATTTTAATAGATGATGTTATTAATGGTTCAGGAGAAAGTAACCATGTTAAACCAATACTATGACTCTGTTGACTAAGTTTTGAAAATACATCAGACTTTACATTGCTATCAAAAGTAGCTATAGCACAGTAATTTTTTTTATTTTCAGGAACAGGGTAAAGTGCATCAATTGGTTTTGTTGTCATAAGAGGTGGCGGAACTTTTGTTGACCAACTACAACCTATATTTAAAATGAATTCAATATTACATTCTTTCGTGTTGCTTAATAATAAATTATTTTATAATTATTACTTGCACTAGTTACTGAAATATTTTTAATTGCAAAAATGAATAATGTTGCCATATGATGGCATCGCAAAAGTCCCCTTGGGCAATCACATTCAGCACGTGTAATGTCACCATTGTCAGAGAAATATATCTAAGTAAAATAAAAAGAATTGTTAACATCATGGCTTTTAGATAAGTATAAGTATTAATAAGTAATAGTATACGTCATTACCATTAATGCTAACTACATTATTGTTAATACCTAGAAATTATCCTATATCTATAGCTACCTAAAATACTAAACACAACTATTACAGAAATGATTATTCATTGGTTTACTTGTACAGAGTATGTTTGATCCTTCATACTAGCCTTAACTACACCTTTTAAATTATTGTCTACAAAAATACATTCCTTCACATGCCCACTTTCATATGCATTTTCACCCCTTTTGACTAACTTTACTTCTTTTTTAAAAAATGCATAAACACAATGCAATTTAATCCAACTAGACGCTGCCATGATCAGTATTGACACTTAGTTAGTAACACTAGTATTATTGTCTTACAATTAAGTGTAAATACTAAGTAGTAAATTAAAAACTGTATTTCACTTTGAAAAACCAATATGGAATGTGTTTGTTTGGAACCAATAAATAACATTATGATAACATTATCATGACGTCACACTACCATACTCTATTGTGTATTCCAGGCTCCTCTCTTACTATTAGATTTTTAAATTGGAGCTCACATTGCTGCTAAATAAGTATATCCTTTAATTATTATTAAAGCCTGTCGTTTTCATCTCATTAAGTTCTATTCCTGGATTAAAAAAAAAATTACCGTAATAAAAACTTACTATTTGGATTACGGTTAAAACTTTTTTTTGGTTTACCTTATTTACCATTACATTTGATTCCCGAGGCGTTTGTTGAGATAATGGCTACTTGTCCGGATGAAAAACATTTTTATGATTTTGCTGATTACATATTGGATAATTATATTGAGACCAATTATTTTTCACCAATATTGTGGGCAGAAGAGCCCAATAATAGTATAAGAACGAGGAACGGAGCAGAAATTTACCATAGTCAACTTAGGATGGAATTTCATGTTCCACATCCTACGATATTTCATTCGGTAAGAACATGAATTTAAAATAATAAATATACTTTTAATGATCGTTAATTTATTTTATTTTTTTAGATAGATGTGTTTAAACAACAACAGGTAATGACTGAAACCAAATTTCGACTCATACGAAACGGCAACATGAATCGTACACGCAAAGAGTATGTAGGGAGAAAGAAAAATCGATTTTAAAAGTATATGATCTTTTCATTAACAACGAAATTAGTTTCATTTATTATTTAAAAACATTAGGGTGTAAAGTTATTTCAATTTAATTATATACTGAATTATTTTTAATAACAATAAAATATGTTTAATTTTTACTTGTCAATCAAATGTGTGCGGTTTTGAACTATTGACCTTTCAAATTTCCCTTTTTAACAATAATTTAATTGATTATTTAAAAACATTAGGGTGTATATTTATTTCAATTTAATTATATCGTTACTTAAGATGCAACACCAGATATCCCACATTTTGGTCAAATTTAGTTATCAACACTGTCTTATTCAAAATTTCTCGAAGAATCGACTGATGGTATCAGATGTAGAATACAAATTTTGGCGGTATCACCACTCCCTCGGCTGGAACATTGGTCCCAACCAGCCTTGATTTTTATACATGTTCCTTGAGGGAAGAAACCGCGTTCGCAGTATATAGATATGTTTCTATCCCCAGGATCTCGGTTAATATATTATAAATATATATTGGTAATATCTTTTATAATAATAATTTATAATAATATATTTTATGCTGCGAGCGCCGCAGCCGTTACGTGCCGGCGGCCTTGACAGTTTTACATTCAATTTATGGAGCCTCATGACAAAAAAAATTGAGAAGTACTGTACTAGATTATACTGTAAAATATCTAAATATTAATTCTTGGCCTTTCTCCGTTCTTGGACTCGTTAGGAGTAGTCCGTGTAGGAGGTCGCCTTCAGAACACAAATTGGTCTGAACGTCGGAGGCACCCGATACTGATACCGAAGGAAGCTCATTTGGCTTTGCTTGTTACTCGCCATTGACATAGCTAAGCGTGCCATTCCAGTCCGCGGTTACTAACCGCACTTGTTCAGAGACGTTTCTGGGTCGTTGGCATTCGCCTTGTGGTACTTCGGGTGATTCGCAGGTGCATAATATGAGCAAGGATCAAGCCCTTAAATCCTCAACCAATGATGGCTGATCTGCCTAGGTTTCGCATCCAATAAGCTCACCCGTTTTCTGTAGTTTTTATAAATTATGCAGGTCCAAATAGCGGCCGTCCGGCGGGAAAGTGTACGGATTTACGGCTGACATGCTTTACAAAAAATTCATTTTCGAATATGCCCTGGATATGGCCTGGACACTAGTGGATCTAGTTAAATCAGCTGCAAATGCATACAAAATGATTGAAGGGAAATTGGAATTTTCTCCAATGTAGTTATCTGCGTATTTTAGAAATTTTTGTTCTTCGGGAATTTCAGACATAAAATCATTAACAAAATAATCGGAAACTTCATTTGATCGAGAAAAGTTAAACCAAATGTAAATTTTAACTACTTTTTATTTTTATAAACTGAAGTTAATCCTATACTCAGTTCAGGCTAAGATTGAACCGGCTTCGGCAGACTGAGCCGCCAAACAGTGCCTAACCCCCCCCCCCATGGCTATACGTTCTGTGGTTGGCCGACAGGGCGTACGCTCCCACCGGTGTCCGGAATGCGCGAAAAAATGTGTTTTAGTCGAGCGAGCGATTCAATCTTAATCTGAACAGAGTATAGTCCTTGAATTTTTCTGTACCACGCTTGAGTCAAGTGAAAACGTGACGCATCCCGCATTAGTAGCAAGTACAATGTACAAGCACTATAGCGACCAGTATAGCTTATCTCCACCACTGCGGGATGCAAGCATATATCAATATATATATTTTTTTTATTTTCCAGATATTGTTACATGGTCTTAATATAATTACTAGGTGTACATTTTTATAGTAATTAATAATTCAATTACAGTATAATATATAAAATACTACAAAAAATAGCAAATTTGGCCAATGAGGGGGGGGGGCCTGGCCACCCTGGATACGCCACTGGGTGGGTGGTAAGTCAATCAAAAAATGAATTGCCCGATAAAATATTTGACTTCGCCACGCCACTGCAACAAATAGTTCTCATCCAATGCATAAAATGCATTATGAGGAATATTAAATTGTGTTGCCCACATAACTAAATCACTTTTACATTCATCACACATATTAGTTGGTTCATAAGTTTGTAAATCATATCCATTGTTCTCAGTAAACTAAAAATCAGATTATAATATTAAACCAAAATTTGTTTTCAGTTATTCTCCTAATCTAACCTTTTCTTATCTAATATTTAATAGTTATTAATCCATTTCAGTCGTCATTTGATGTTTGTAGCCGCACAAACAAGCTCCGTATAAAATATTTTGGTATCGGTGAACGAAATACACCGCGCGTGTAATATAATATAATAATATAGTATAGTAATAACAACATTTTTTTTTTATTAAATTTTTTTTTATAATTAAATTTAAAACAATATTAAGTAGTACTTTGTACTTTTATTAGTAAATAAAGTCAAATATATATGCAATACGACATTGATTTCTGTGTAAAACAAATTTGTGTATAAAATACACCGCGGGTGTAATTATTGAAAAAAAAATATCGCGTGTAGCTATGGGTTAATATCTTTCAAGCAATTTTCAGTAGTTCACTTCGGACTACAAAAATATTCCTTCTTGGGTTTATTAAAAATAACATCATCACTATCAGATACGAGTAGGGAGATTCAAAGTCTTCTACAAGTCATTCAACTACGTCTTATATTTTTTCTTTCAATAGTTTAAATAAAATTGCTTTTAAGCTGATTCCTTTGAGGAGTATGCGCCTTAGTAATTCTTGAACTACAAGCACATAAATCTTGCTCATCAGTCATCACCAGTATAGTGTGTGTTATACGGTTTACCCGTATTTATCCATAACACACCATATTAGTGATAGAAAGATTACTATTCGTATCAAAATCGAATAGTTATCGTCGTTCCCATTGTGCTGTGTTGACACTAGTCGAGTGTCAACCACCAACCCCGTCCGTCTAGAAGTTAAACTTCCAGTACATAGACATGGAATGGCTATCAAAAAATAATTAATTTAGGAGAAAAAAGCCAATAAATGTGATGGTGATTCTGATTATGGTAGTCAATTGGATTTAGAAGGTAAGAATATGCCAACTAGAAGAACTAGAAGTACTTGTATTCATGTTGATAAATTTAAAAGGAAAATGGAAATGTCCTTTGGATATTTTTTTTAAAACAGAATCAATGCTGTCACCCAAGCTGAATTGATAAAATCTGCTTTATCAATTACACATAATGCTGGTTTGAGAGTTTGGGGCATAACCTGTGACAGTGTTTTCACAAATTTTTCTTCTATGAAAATATTAAGATGTAAATTTCAAGATATATCATCGTACACAGAGTTAAAAAGTTGGATAAATCATCCTATTTCCAATGAGAAAGTATTCTTTTTACCAGACCCTTGTCATATGTTAAAATTAGCCTGTAATACTTTAGGAGTGGGACTTTATTGAAAATTTGTTTAAAATTCAATCAGATTTATTGTTAAAAGTAGGTAATAAATTGAGTCAAGCTCATGTTAAGGGGGACCAAAATAAGATGAAGGTCAAATTAGCTGCTCAAATATTGACTAACCTTGTCAACCTAACGTAACCGTACGGTGTTGCTATATAATGTTTTACTTTAAAGCCAAATAAGACTATGTTTTTTACGATATTTATATATTTTATATTTATATTATAACATGTGAAAAAAAATATATCAAATAAATAAATGTTATGTACTAACATAATATTAAGAATTATGTAAACTACTAATAACTGTTCATATTTGTAAAGGATGGCTTTCATGATACTAGTAGTTTAGCATTCTGAGCAATAGTTAGAGGCAGGGACTGGAACCTTGATGATTTTGACGGTTCCGGTTCCGGTTCGGCTCTTACAAAAACTAAAATTTCGGTTTCGGTTTCTTTTCGGTTTTTAAGAAAACTAAAATTTCGGTTACGGTTTCTTTTCGGTTTTTAAAAAAAACTAGAATTTCGGTTTCGGTTTCTTTTCGGTTTTGAAAAAAATCGAAATTTCGGTTTCGGTTTTTAAAATAACAAAAATGTAGGTTTCGGTTTCTTTTCGGTTCTTAAAAAATGAAAACTGAAATGAAATTCCTGTTTAGGTTTTATACTTGAAAGTTAACACTCATGTAAGAAATATTTGATAAGTTTCGTTGGCGTCAATACTAATTTTTCTATCAGATATTTCTACCGCGAGGCTTCCTGTACGTCAGATAACGATAGTATTAATAGTAATAATATACACAATCATAAAATGCCTAGTTATTTATAAATATTAACCATATATATTGAGAATTGCTTGGTATTGTGGTAACTGGAACCCCTATAGGTACCTACATATAATAATATGCAGTAAATAATGACTTATTTTTATTGGGAATTTCTCATTTCTATTACATTATCAGTTGTTACGTACAAAATACAAATATTGAATGATTGTTTTTGTATAATTAACCTCTTAATAATAATAATAATAGATTTACGTATTTGTTTAGTTCATATTATCTACCATGTACCAATGACAATTGACAGATATATTAAATAAAATTAATGATATAACAAAACCGAAATTTACTGTAAAAACCTTTAAAAAAAAGTATGGGTTGCGGTTAAGTTGCGGTTTTTAAATAAATATAAATAAGGGTTCCGGTAAGGTTCCGATTTTTAAATAAATTTAAATAAGTGTTCCGGTGAGGTTCCGGTTTTAAAATTAATTTGAATTAGGGTTTCGGTGAGGTTTCGGTTCCCAATATTGAAAGGGTTCCGGTTCCAAAACCGGTTCTTTTCGGTACGGTTCCAGTTCCTGGTTAGAGGTCTTATTAATCATAAGCCCTCGTTTTGTGGGGGAGGTATTTAATACTACAATGTATAAGACCACACGCAGTATATCATGTGTCCGGTACGTGATGGGCAGCATTAATTACTATACTCGACGCACGTTAAGATCATGACCGGGCGGCGGACCGTTTAGCGTCCGTTACGCGCAGCCGATTTTTCATTGGTTCCCCAAACATCCGTTGACAGTTATACAGCGCTGTTTCAAATGTGAACCGCATACACCGTGTCGTAGTGGATAGCCTGTTTATTACTGTTCTGAACAGTGTACGCGCTTGCATGATTTTGCTCCGTATGCTCCCATTTGATTTTTTTCTATACGCGCTTTAATTGTTCTCTGTACGTCAATTTCTCGTGAAATATGTCTGATGAGGAGGCTGCAACATTTATTTCCCCACGGAAGAAGAATCCTCAAGGCAAAGTAAGTTGAAACAATTTTATAGTAATATTTTTTATTTAACAGTGAAAATCACGATAAGATTTATATCAAAATGTTGTAGACTAAAAATATTTAAACCGAAATGTATTTTTTATTACAAAATATTTTTTTCTTTACGGTTTGAACAAAATATATTGGATTAATATATTTTTTGGTGAAAATATTGTTTTCAATTTTTTTAAAATTGATAATTTAAAAATATATTTAAAACAATTAGCAATACCATTAACTAACAAAATGTTTATCTGTATCATTTCAATAATAGTTAATATTTTTATATTTTCAGCCTGTTGGCAGCTCACAGAAAATGATGATAATTAATTGTTATAAGCAATTAAAATCAGAAAACGACCAAATTAAATATCGCGATTTGATGAAACGTATTTCTGATACACTTGGTATTGGATTGAATAAGGTGCAAACAACAGTATCCGAGTACAACCAAACTAAGACCTTGACTTCACCCAACAGAAAAAGAAACAGACCTGGTGTTGTGGATAAAATAGATGATTTTGACAAGAACGCTATCCGGAGAAAAGTACATTCATTTTGGCATAATAAAGAGCTACCGACACTTGCGAAGGTATTAACCGCTATAAACGAAGACACTACATTGCCAAATATGAAGGAAACCTCTTTACGGAAAGTTTTGAAGAGCTTGAATTTCAAATTTACAAAACGCCAGGGAAATAGTATTTTAACAGAGAGAAGAGACCTTTTAAGTTGGAGAAGAAAATATTTAATTTCAATTCGTCGTTTTCGTGAAGAAGGTAGACCTATATATTACCTCGATGAAACTTGGCTCAACACCGGTGATTGTGTGAGTAAGGTGTGGGTTGACACAACCGTTACTTCCAGTAGAATGGCATTCCTGGAAGGTCTATCTACAGGCCCCCAAAACCCAAGTGGCAAAGGTACCAGGTTAATTGTTGTACACATTGGGTCTGTAGCTGGTTTCGTGTCAGGTGGTCTATTGTGTTTCCAGTCAAAAAAAAATTCATCAGATTACCATGATGAAATGACTGGTCAAACATTTCAAGAATGGTTTGAGGAAATATTGCCTCTTTTAGAAGACAATGCCGTGATTGTGTTGGATAATGCACCATATCACTCCGTGAAAAAAGAAAAAACTCCTACGACGAATTGGAAAAAGGCAGAAATGGTAGAATGGCTGGTGTCTAAAGGTGAAGAAATCGACCCCTCACAACTTACCAAAAATGATCTCCTAGACATCGTCCAACGTTTAAAACCAAGGTTAGTATTAAAATATAAACTATTCATACTATACACTATTAATATATTTTTTTTAGATACAGTGCATACATAATTGACGAGATAGCCAAAGATGCCGGAAAGACGGTTTTGAGACTGCCCCCTTACCATTGTGAGCTAAATCCCATCGAATTGGTATGGTCAATGGTGAAGTCATATGTCAAGTCAAACAACACTACATACAAGATTATCGACGTCAAACATCTGCTTCACCAAGCCATTGACAGGGTAAAACCAGAAGATTGGCAGTCTTTCATAAGACACGTGAAGGACGAGGAACAGAAGTTTTGGGATGTTGACTTCATTTGCGACGAGATGATAGATGAACTCCAGCCCGATCCGCGTCATATTTTAACAATTGGTGAATCGACAGACTCGTCTGATGACGAATGTACCTAATTATTTGTAAATTTGTATAATACTTTTAAAATATTTTTTATTTTATTCATTGTATACATGTTTAAATATTCATTATTCATAGTAATTATTTTAAATGTATGTTATAATGTGATACAATTAACGTGTATATTATTTAAAATAAATACTTTGATATAACCATATAATATTGTTTTAAAAGATTTTCTTTTATATTAAAATATGTTATTAATTTTTAGACTCTAAATAAAGTAAAGGATCTATTGGTTTTTTCTAAAAATAAAAAAATTTAATTTGAATAATAAGTATATAAAATAATTATACAACGTGGTAGGGAGATAGAGTTGTATTGCTTCCGCGACGAGTGTCTCGCAACGCCGCACCGTCATACAATCGATTATACAGTGTGATGGAGTGAGTTCTATTGTTTTATAAACAAGTGCACGTCTCTGTTGACGCATGAGGCGTTCCGTATACGAAACCGGCAACTGCCACTATGGCGAGCGGTGCGGTGGAGGAAGTTGTTTTGAATGCGCGACTGGTCATGATCTTAACGTGCGCCGAGTATATATAAAGGCTTGGCAGGCTACTAGTTGACGGTATCCATGCTGATTATTTATGTCTTAAATTGTACAAGTTCAATAATTTGAAACTATTAATTGATTTGTGTTTTATATTAAATAAACTTATATTATAATCAATTCGAATAAGAGTTATTTGTTTGACTTTGAAGCCTATTAGCAGTGTCTCTCATCCAGTTCACAACATGTGGTAGGCTCATAGGTTGATGGCAATTCGTTTGGGGTATTTATTTAAAAAAAAATAAACAGTCAAAGTAAAGGCAGTAAACAAATTAAACAGTCAACGGAGTTGACTTAAAAATTTGAATATATGCTTGTAATATTCTCTAAAAATATTAGTAATATTTACAAAAATATAACAGGTGTTCCAATGTCATTTACCGTATTCGTATTAATAGTAAAATAATATTAACAAGGTATTATTATTTTATTAATATTATAAAGACATTATTTATTATTAAAAAAAATGAATATATTAAATATATGATTATTAAATTTATTATTGTTAAATTTATTATTCACATCAGAGTGCATTGTACTGCCATGGAACAGATCCTTGAGGGTATGTAAAATAGGTTGCAAAATAGTTACGTATATTGACAGCAGATTTAGTTCTATCGTGGAGTTCAATGTTAACACTCTGCAGTGGGCATTTATAAGCTGTGTCTGTAAAGTTAATTCCATCTCTTTTGCGTACGAAATTATAGAGCACACAACATGATTTGATTATCGTGTCACAGAAATCGATGCTAACATCAATAGGTCTATGGAAAATACGCCATTTGTTTGCTAATATGCCAAATGTACATTCAACCATTCGCCGAGCTGTTGTTTGGCTTCTGTTGTAAATTTTTTTTGATGGGGTAAGCGTTTTTTTTCCCAAATGGACGCAAAATGTGTCTCGATAAACCAAAAGCTTCATCAGCAACCAAACAAAAAATCATTGGTTTACCTTCTGGATCGATAGGCAATGTTCGGTCTTTTGGTATATTCAAAAGGTTTTGTCGTAACATATATGCAGTATTGATAATCATCATCAAACCATACCATCAGCATAGCCATCAGCACTACAGAAAATAATTTTTCATAATTAAAAAATTCTGAGCCAGTCATTTGTGGTTGGATTATTCTGATATGTTTGCCGTCTATAGCACCAATGATGTTAGGAAAATAGGTATTTTTATAAAATTGTTCAGATATGTGTAACACTTCTTCGCTTTTCTCTGGCATAACAATAGGCTGCAAAATATTCCAAATTTCATTGCATGTTGTTTTCACTATCTAACGAATTGTGCTGGTGCCAATCAAATAGTTGTACGACGGTTCGTTGAAACTTGAGCCACTTGCTAGATACCTAAAGAAAAGTACCAATTAAGTCAGGCGCGGATTCATTAAGGGGGCGGATGGGGCGCCCGCCCTCCCCGTAAGCTGTGTTTTGTTTAGGAAAAATGCCCAGTAAAAAGAATCAAAACTAATTTTAATACGTTGAGTGCCGTGATCGACGGGTTGTAGACAATTGTCAATTTGTATAGGATTCTTTTTGGCCTTATAATTTACTCGGTTATCTGAGCAATTCTTCCGTTTATATACCTACGTGGTTATTCAGTGAAATGTCTTTTTTTCAACGGTGTATTCGGATTTTATTTTCGTTCATTTTTTAACAAAGTAATGGTTATTTTTCCCAGAAAACTGTTGATGGCGGCGACCACGACAATCATTGTATACATAAATATATTATATATATATATATATATATAATATATTATTCTTATAATATACAGTTGTAATCTTGTAAAGTTATAGTATAGTTTTATTTCAAATACTAAATAATAATAATAAGAATTAGGTATGTTCACCGTTGACGTAATAATAATGAGTGATAATTAAATCTGTAATTTCCGTTTTGAAGAAGAAGCGTTTGAACGGTGATGAATGTTTCAATAAAATATTTGAAAACACAAAACATAAGCTACTCAATTTAGGACTATCTGACATAAATATGCCAAGATTAACAAGCTTGATGAAAAATAGAGAAAATCCTCAAGTGGAAACACCTGAAAAATACTATAAAATTGTCCTTTTTATTCCTTTTTTGGATGAATTATTAGCTGATTTAGAATCAAGATTTGACGAAGCTTCAATATCAGTATACGATCTTGATGTAGTCCTACCAAATATAATTGAGAAAAAAGATATTTTTAACGATAAGACTAAAATAGAAAATAAGATTTTAAACGTGGTTAATCAATTTGGTGATGTAGTATCAAATTATTTAAATGTATCTCATGATATATTTGAAAAACGCATAAGTGGAGAATTAACCCTTTGGCACGAATATTTTCTCAACGAAAAGCAACTACCTGTGACTCATATTGATGCTTTAAAACGTTGTGACTACGATTGTTTTCCTGAAATCAATATTCTATTAAATATACTTGTGACATTACCAGTGACCACTGCATCAGCAGAACGCAATTTTCCATCTCTGAGGCGGATAAAAACATGGATGAGAACAAGAATTTCGGAAGATCGATTGAATGGACTGGCTTTACTACATGCTCATCATGATATAACAATAAACTCTGAGGATGTGATTGATGTATTTGCAAAATCTAATAGAAGACTAGATTTTGTAATTTAAATTTAATGACTATGTACGTTTTTTATCTTTTTAATTTTTATATTCATTTATTTATTTATTTATTTATTTTATTTATTTATCAATTTAACGGGCGAGCCCAATTACAATAGTATGTGGAACATAAAATAGTATGTACATAATGGTAGTTGTTGAATATAAATAGACAATAGTATATATATATATATATTATATATATATTTTATATATATATATAATGGTTGGTGTGGGGGTATAAAAATATTTTAAGTGAATAAATTTCTAAGATATAAATTAAATGAACTCACAGAATAACAAATAAAAAGATCGACATTAAAATTATTTACATGTTGCATACATCTAATTAAAGGGGCGTTCTTACCATATAAAGTGCGCTGGAATGGCATATAAAAGGTGTCTCTCTGTCTAGTTGAATGACAAGGAACTAGAAATGATATATTTGACAAAAGATCAGGACAGTAAATATATCCATTTAATAGTTTAAATATAAAGCTAATATCGTTTTTAATCCTTCTGTTTTGAAGAGTATCAATGTTTAGATATAGTAACAATGGTTCATATGAAGTGTGAGGTAAACGTTTAATATTACACTTGATGGATATAAGTCTCAAGAAACGATTTTGAATCGCCTCAATAGAATAAATTGGACCTAGTGTGTATGGAGACCAAATTATAGAATTATAATCAAAAATTGATCTAACTAAAGCGCAATAAAGTGATTTTAGTGCTAAAGGATTATCAAAATTATTACAACTACGCAATTATAAAGCCAAGCATTGATGACGCTCTATTCTGAATATGGACATGGTGATCATTGAATGAAAGAGAGGAATCAAGATATACACCTAAATCTTTAATTAGATTAACTCGTTCTAGTTCAATACCATTTAAAAAGTATTTGTTTAATATAGACACACGCTTTCTAGTGAAAGTAATAATTTTACATTTTGAAACATTCAAATATAATTTATTATTATCACACCAATTACTTATGTCATCAAGATCATATTGAAGCAGATTAGAGTCTAGTGGAGTTTTTATAATACGGAATAGTTTAGCGTCATCGGCAAATAGCAGTATATTTGAGTTGATATTACTAATATCATTAATATAAATATTAAAAAGAAGCGGAGCCAAATGAGATCCCTGAGGAACTCCAGAGGTGACATTGTAAATATAAGAATTATAATTTTTAAATTTAACGTACTGCTTACGACCAGATAAGAAAGAGACTAGCCAAGAATAGAATGGATTGCAGAGACCGGATTGGAATAATTTTTTGAAGAGAATATTATGATCTATCTTGTCAAAGGCCTCAGCAAAATCAGTGTATATTACATCGACTTGGCAATTTGATTTAAATGCATTTAAAATAAAATGTTGCAAAACCAAGAGATTAGTAGTAGTGGATCTACTTGACATAAAACCATGTTGCTCGTTTATAATAAAATTTTTAAAGAGCGGACTAATCTTCTTGTATACGATACCCTCGAATATTTTAGGAATAATGGATATAATGGAGACAGGTCTATAGTTAATTATATGGTTACTATCTCCACTTTTATAAACCGGAGAGACATATGATATTTTCCATTGGTCCGGAAAGACTCCAATAGCAAGAGACCGATTGAATATGATCAATAAGGGAGTTGATAAAACAAACTTACATTGCATAAAAAATGTGTTAGAAATATTATCTGGACCAGAACAAGTACTATATTTGATTTCATTGAGCTCATTATAAACATCGCTAATAGCCAGAGTGCATGAATTTAAATCAATAGAAGGAATACTAGTATTGTAATAATCAACAATACTTTCAGTAATTGACGGCATATTTAAGACACTGGAAAAATGTTGAGCAAAGCAATTAGTAATGTCATAACCACCAGAAATATTTTCATTATTGTAATACATAGAGTTTGGGAGTGAAAGAGTAGAGCGTTTGCTATTAACATATTTCCAAAATAACTTAGGATTACTAGTAATAGAATTTTGAATTTTTTGGATAAAAATATTATAATCAATTTTATTTTGAGCCTTACAGCATGCACGTAAATTAGAAAATTTGTTGTAATTATATGAATTAGGTGATTGTTTATATGTTTTATGAGCAATTTTTTTATCAAGAATTAATTTCTTTAAAGAACTGCTGAACCAGTGAGGGTGCTTTGTTAAATATACAGTTTTAACCGGACAATAGGCATTAATTATTTTAAAAACATTATTATAAAATATATTTACTGTATCATTAATATCTAGACCATTGAATATGCCATTCCAGTCCAAAGAAGCAAGATTAGATCTAATACTATTATAATCACAGTTGACAAAATCGTACATTTGTTCATTATATTCTAAATACTTAAATGGTAAAATAGGTAATTCAACTGATAGTGCTGGGTGGTACATAGAATCTAATGGTAATAATGTGTGATTCTCGTTAATTACATTAATATCAAACACGTTAGAAAAAATAAGATCAAGTAACGATCCAGAGCGATTATATATTAAATTAAATTGCATTAAATTTAGATAAGACAATTGCGCTAACACATTAGATTCAAGAGAACCGGCACGAGCACCTGAAGCGACAATTGAACCATTTACAGATTGCCAACTAATATTTGGTAGATTATAATCACCAAAAATTAAAAATTTCGAATGACGGTTATTATTTAACAAAACATCAATAGCATTGAAGTGTATGTCGTAAACATTAATATCAGAAGCAGGGGGGATATAAACAGCACCTATAACTAAAGATAAAGATTTTTCACTAATTTGTATAAATAATTGCTCAACTGAGTTGTCCAAGAGAGGAAGACGACGGCACGAGAACTGGTTCTTGACTGCAATCAGCACTCCACCACCTCTTGTAGTAACATCACGAGTACTGCAACGATCACATCGAAAAATAGTATAACGGGGACAAAGTCCAAGTTCCGCATTTTTTACATTGTCAGATAACCAGGTTTCAGTAATTATAATAATATCATAATTGCATAGAGAGACATTACGAGTAAACATATCCAATTTAGTATTAATACCTCGAATGTTCTGATAGTAGATGGACATTTTATTAACTATTGTAGGGCTCGTTGACCGTTTTTTGAAATGGTTGGTAAATTATTGACAAACTTAATAAATATATTGGTTTCACCAGCATCTTTGCGTGTTTTAAGTTCAGAGGCAACCGAGGAGTATAATTTACGCTGTTGTAATGTTTGGTCAGATGAAACCCGAACAGTTTTAAATTTATCAACATTTAATAGCTGCCGTTTAACTTTTAAAATTTTAAAAACATCAGGCGGTGACGGCATAACAATCCGAATAGGACGAGGCTTACTCGAAGGCTTTCCCAAACGATGAACAGACAGTGGTTTGGTAGATATGCCGATAATATTAAACATATCGTCAATAAGTGAAGCGTCGTTGTTATGGACATCACCAGATGTTGAGAGATCTGGCAAGTTAAACAATATAATGTTACGAGATCTAGATTGACGGTCCATAAATTCTGAGAAAAATCCTTCTTGATTGGTAGAGTGAGTATTGCTTTGAGATTGTTTGATTGATGATAGTTTAGATTCAAGTTGCTCAATTCTAGATTTCAATGACTTATTTTCTTCCATTACCGAAGTAATTTGATTGGAAAATAAGTCAAACTTGGAATCAAAAGAAGACAGCTTTTTATCTTGCGACTTAATAGACTCACGGCATGAATTAAGTGATAATATGATTTTATTCTGCGAGCTTTTTAAATCGTTGAACATATCAATAAGTTTATTAAATTTATCATCATTAATATCAGACGGCGAAGAAGTCGACATAATTAGCGTTGAAAATTAATGATAAGACAAAAGGCACCACGATAACGGACACTAAAACGAACAACACAACCGTCCAGTACCACGGACTACAGTCGACTGATTAACGTGATTAACATGACTGATGTTTTAGTTTTTAGTTCACTATTTGGAATTTATCAATTGATTAAAAAGTTGTATTTAACATAACTGTTTCATGTAAGTTATTTTTGAACACAAATATGTGCGCTTGCCCACATATTATATTTTATTAGATATTTTATTTCGTATGTAAAATATTCGCCCCCCCCCCACCATAATCTCGGGCTGGATCCGCGCCTGAATTAAGTACTACTTTTTAAGTTTTTAATATAGCTAATATTACTACAAATTTAATACCTAGTTGTAATCTCTATTATTATATTATTATTTATAAATGGTTTTTAGGAATAATGATACAACGAAGATGGAAAAATCTAAGGAAGCGCTTTGTAAGAGAATTCCGTGAACAAAAGTCGGTGAAGTCAGGGCAACCTGCCAGTAAGCGACGAAAGTACAAATTTATGACCAACTTTTATTTCTTATACCAACCGTACAAGTACGCGAAACAAGTGAAAATGCTGAACTAAACGTAAGCGATGAAGAACGTGAGGGAACGTGTGGATTTACAAAGCCCGCTTGTCTTTCCTTCTCCACATATCACATCAAATTTAATGAAGAATAAGAAGATGAGTTATGAAGAAAAACTAATCCATATACTTGAAGCAAAATAAAAAAAGAAACTGCTCCACGCGTGGTTGACTCCGACACAAATTTTGCACTGTCTCTTGTACCTATGCTGAGAGCAATACCCACACATCAAACGATCGATGCACAAATTCAATTCTTCAGTTACTAAAAAATTTCTAGAACAATTCTCCACCAACGAACACACTTGATTTCAGTAGAAACTTTGCTAATTACTCCACTCCTTTGCATTTAATAACTGGTACATCTGCATCTATGAATCAACCCACCAGTTTGAACCAAAACATACAACTTATTTCACCTCAAACTACCGACAGTGTACAGTCATACATATCAAATTTTTCAGCGTCTTCAGATGGATTAGAAACCATGAAGGATATAAATGAACACTATTACTAAACTTAATTAAATATTGTATCTAATTTCATATAAAATGTTATCTTTACTTTTATTCACTGTTTTTTTATTAATTAATAATGAAAATAAAAATAGAAATTGTATTTATCTATACATCTCACCTCAATGTAAAAGCCAGCCTCTCTTCTGGTGGAATCGCCAGTCGCATGTTCGTATTTTGGTAGGTGATGGCAGGTTCCAGAAATGTAATTAGCTAGTCAAATGAAGTTACACTCATGCGGAAATAACCAAAAAATTTCTGTGGGTAACTTCTTAACTCTTCGAACATCAGAGAAATTCCCCTTTATTCATTCTCTCAGATATCAACGGGTTAACCCAATATTTCCTTTTCCGTTGATTTTTCCTGTGTCAAATGATAAGAGCACAAACTACTGCAGTATCCAAAAAATCCATAATAGGTAAGGTGTAAGTAATTGATGATGAAGATTGAAATTGGACGATTGAAATGTACGTGAACAAACGATGTGCACGCGTATTTATCGAATGCACAATTAGTAAATAGTATACAGTAAATAGTTGATCGTCGTGTGCTCACTCTCAATAACCAAAGCAACTAGACAGCGACAAAGACAAAAAAGTTGGTCGTGTGTGGCAGGCCCTAACTCTGTAATATTTTTTACATTAAACATAATACTTTAAAAAAAATGTAAGGTACAAATAAAATCGAAATCTAACATTTTTCTATGCAGTGCCATCGTAGAACACTTGGTATTAGAATCAAAATTTTTCGATGACTTCATATCTTCTAAAACATGTACCACATCCTCATAGCTAACGGAAACCGCTTTGATAGATTCGGACCATGCTGTCCACCGGTTTTGCTACTTAAACCCCTTCAAAGCTACTTTACCAATTATGCTACTTAAACGTATGACAAAAATTGTTAATATCTGTGTAGTTAAACCTAGTGTAATCAGCTCTCGGTCAACCGTAGTAACACTGAACCGGCGACGTACTATCACGGCTGCCGAAATGCGTAATTATTTTTTAATTGTATCGAAACCCGTCAAACCAATATCTACAATTACAATTACAACACAATCCGCGACGACGATCCTATAATGAAAAAGGGTTGACATTTTGCCGACTGTGTCAAGTTTTTTCACCAAATTTACAATTTGCCGACTGACAAAAACATCTTGGGGGCGTAGGTAACCACCTTACGGAACGCCCTTGCTTATGTATTGGTAACCATTAAGTCGTGTTACTTATTGATATTAATACCAAAGTCATTGGTCCATTCTAGGTTCAATTTTAATAAAACTCATAGTTATCGTTTATTCCTTTATAAACATAATCATCAGTTGCCACGACTAAAGTAATTTCACCCGTTGCCATAGGCGCAACTAGGGTCAATTTTTGGGGGGCTAGAAAATTCTTACAATACAATTATTGTATAAGTTACACAGAGCCGCAGGGACTCCGCCCCCGCACCCTCATAAATAATAAGCCTTATGGCTACTGACAATATACAAATAAATTCATATATTTAAATATTTTTTTTATTTAAATTAATTTAATATTCAATATTCAATTAATACTAATTTTCTATTGGCTACAGACAATTTTTCAATAACCAATTGTTTTTGTCCTAGATGAATCACATTTACATTAATATTTGTCTTTTCTTCATTAGCATTATTAACACTTTTAGATTTAAAAATATCATAATATTTAGTTGTAGTCATTATCGTTATTTTAATGAGAATTAGAAAAAACTAGGTACACTCAAATCTTAATATAGGTACTAATATAATATAAGAACATCATCAGTTCGAGTCATTGAACATTTGAAATTTCGAACAGCGATATAATAACTGTCAACTGATATATAGTTTAGGATCTTTTGCCGTAGCTTGATATACAAATGTTAATTAGTAATAAAAGGATAAGATATCCTAAGTAAAAGTACAGGGAAATAAATCCTCAAAATCTTTTTTTGGACACAGCAGCACTCGCATTTGCATTCTTGATTATTTAGTCCAAAAAAATGTATGCCGTAGTTTTTTTGGCGGACTTTATCTGTTTGATTGTTTTTGCTCACCACATGAATTCGCCACATGTTTCCATTTGGTGTTGGGATTACATGAATGGTTAAAATATGCAGCAGGACCCAAAAATAACAAATCTTTTCTATTAAATAAAAGTCATTAACACCCTCCTGTAAAACAAAAAAATTTAAAAAAAGTTGTTTAATTAAAAATATAAATTTGTTAAAAATAGTTTTAGATGCGCATAACATACTATTATGTGTTCAGGTTTAATAGTCACGATTCGACCACACAGGGTGTTAATGACTTTTCACACAGTGATTGATGTAGTATGTAACGAGGCAGAATTATTAGGAATAATTCTTTCTAACCAAACCACCTGCGCCATCTACCGGACGCGACAAGCGTAAAGTGAATAGGTACCGCGCCGACCAAGTTATAACCTTCCAACGTTTTACTTTTCAATAAAGCGTAAAGTGTTGCGACACTTAATATCTTACGGTACGACACTGTTCAATACATTTTCCAACCAGCACAACAACATTTTCATTGAACAAACACGAAAAAAGACGCCGAACAATGAAACGCACAGAGTGCGCGGCGACGCACATCAACACAAGAAACTACTAAAGCATTAAATACTACGTCGATTCAACCCAGCCGCCCACCAAAAAAGCAACAAGCATCACATAGAAAAACAGTGAAAAATAGTCGACGTAACCCGGCACATCGACCCACAATAACACAATAACTCGTGTTGAACCACAGATATACAGGCCGGATTTCAGCCAACGATCATCTCTCCATAGTTCTATTCATTACTTTCATTTCTCTTTTCAATTGTGTGTAACGTAAAGTAACTTCACTCCATACCCCTCTCCCTACCTTGACAGTGTGAGTAGTGGTACACCCTGGCAGCGTACTGTTCTACTTACACCTAAAGCGCCGGAGAGGGCTCCCCTCACAATACCCTCTTTGAGGAGTACCCAATATAGTCCAACTGGCAACTATGCTTTCATATGCTGCTCAAATGTCTCTAAGAAAATCTGGAAATGTAGATAGTGCTTATGTTATCAAAAATAGTACGTGTACAACACCTACAAAAGCTTGCTTCAAAGTACAAAAAATCTTATAAAGACAGTAAAAGTAAAATTAAGGTCATTTCTAATGACGAAGCTCTTTCTTTGCTGATTGAGGATCAGTTGACAAAGCATCAGTACAATTTAATTAGGACACAAGCAAAAAAATATGGTTGTAATATTTATCCTGCATATTATCTTTTAAGATAATCTATACAAAACAACTCGTGTTTTGCATTCTTACAAGTAGCAACAATTTAATTTTTTAATCTTTTGTTTTTTTTTATATTCATATAAATCATTCTTTATGAAAGCATCGTACATTTCATATTGTTTGTGTAATACTTCTCGCTCTCTTCTAGTTTTGAATTCAAACTGTTCCGTTTCGGTTTTGTGCGTTTTAATCCCTATACAATTTAAAACATCATTTTTATACCAGTAGTATTATATGACAATAATAAACTAATGTTATTGTAAAAGGTTAAAGCGCGAACGCCGGCTGCAAGCAGTGCCGTAACTAGATTTGATTGGGCCCGTGTGTGAAAACTCTGTTGAGCCCCGTTTCCTAAAAAATTTACTTATTTGAAAATCTCCATATTTATTTTCCTAATAAGACATTTTTTTTTAACAATAAGTATAACTTGTAGTTTAGAAACAACATAAAAATTAAATAATTTTACATATAAATGTGGGTAAATAAATAATATAATTATAACTCTTAGGTAGGTAAGTCATAAAAAATATTTTGAAATTTGAACATCATAAATGTAATTGAATAAAATAATAATATTAATTAAAAATGTTAAAACTTAGGTATAAACTTAAGTATATAATTTTCAAAACTAAATTATAAGCTATCGAAGAAAATTCTTTTTTCTTGCTTTTAAATTTGCAAAGTCTTCAATGATTTTGTCTACATTAATATTTTCTGCTTGAAGTCTTTCGATGTTCAGAATAGTGATGTTAGATAACCGGTCTTGACCTATAGAGTTGCGCAAATAGTTTTTAATAAGTTTTAACTTTGAGAATGACCTTTCTGCTGAAGCAGATGTTACTGGTATAGTCATAAAAATGATTATACCAGTAAAAACATCTGGAAATATGGAAGTTAAGTCATCTTTGATAATTATTTCTCCTAAATTTTGAACAGTCATTTTTTGAAGTGAGTTTTCTTGATAAGTTGATGATAAATATGCTTTTAAAGAGAATTTGTCTTGTAAAATCTGAACTTATATCATCTCTGTATTTAATGGTAAAGTCATACGCTGATTTTATTAAAAGTTCTTCAGACATTTCTACTAATGTTTGAGGAATAAGTATACTAAAATATTCACAGACCATGTAATGAAACGCATTTAGTTGGTAATAAATTGTTTTTATTGTTATATAATATTTTGAACCAATATGCTCATTATCTGAATTTGATACAATTAATATGTTTTGTATAACAATATTTTTTTTTATATAAATTATTTCAGTTATACTCATTAGAGTGTACAATAAAAATAATTACTGGGGTTACATAAAGGGGTGGGAATGTGAACATTGAACTCGCGGTTTTGTTCGGTAGAGGTGAAGTATTGGCTCTGCTCGGCGGCGGTGTACTTACACAAAACAACTGCGCGTATAGAGGCCCGGTAACACTTGAAAGTGACTTACCCGCGTATACGGCTAAACGTTGACTGATAGGCTCTGCTCTTGATGGCGGCATGGCTGTGGACAACTGTAATGAACTGATCCCGGACGGTGAATGACTCGTATAGCTTCCCGGTGATGAATGATGGTGTGTCCTCGGATGACGAAGTGACTACTGCAGCGCCTGGTGTTGGTCGTCTCACACAGTGTATACGTAGTACCGAGCGGTAACACGCACTTTCACGGCCCACGGTCGTTCGTGGTGGAAAGGGAATGCCGGGACAGACTATATGAGTATCCGTGTATAACGAGAATTTTACTCTCGTCCGGTTTACTCAGTCTGGGGGCAATGCTGATCGATGTTTGGTAATTGGTGTCCGTGTATAAAGAGGAGTTACTCTCGTCCGGCTCGTCAATATACCGCACTCAGCAGGGAGACGGTCAATTTTGCTGTGTTCCTGGGTGGTACTTATAATACTCATGCCCTTTACGTAATGAGTAAAACACATAGATTGTAGATTAAAGTGTTTTACGTTCAACTTAAAACCCATAAAAAATATGCTTTACATAGTTTATAATGCGCGGATTCCAATGGTATATCCCAAATGGTTTTAAACTGACGGGTTTCGTTGTGAAATGATTTTGTTAACTCGGCGGAGTGCCGGCGAAAAGGAAGTTTGTTGTGCGTCGTGAAAGGCTGTTTTCGTGTTCGGCGGTAATGGCGTCTGATTACTTCGCGAGAGCTGGGATACGTACGCGATCAGTTACTACTAGTGACGAGAGTGCGCCACGGGAACGGGGCGTTCGGTTTTGTCTCGTTACAAACATTTGCATTCCTTTAAACCTTTCTCTAAGTTGCATCAATGTTGTATCAATTACTGGGTAAAATACATTTACCTTAAAGTTATCTTCCATTACCGTAAGTCGAAATCACTATCTACTTCGTCAAAATGTCTTACAGCATATCGTTGAAGCTTTTTATCAAATTTAAATGGTATATTCCATGTTTCATACAATTTTCTTGCGTTAACAGTTATTTTTTCGTACTCTTGTCTCATTTTTTCTATACTTTCAGTAGCCTTTTGTAACTGTATTGAAGCTTTGTTTAAGCTAAGATGAACAGACTGTAAAGTTTTAGATAAAATTTGAAGTGATCCCAAAATTGGTTCCCATATGCATAGAATAAGAATAAATTCTGCTGACCCTAGTTTGTTTTGTAATATTTTTGCCATATGTATTTCATCACTTTTGTCACTTGTTAATTGAATATTTGTAACTACTCTTAAAATATCTGAAAATCTCTGTTTTAAAGAAAATATTGCATTATGACGAGCCTCCCAACGGGTAGGACATAATTGTTTTATAGTTACATTTTTAATCTTTAGTCCTTTATCTTCTCCAAAAGCCAATTGTTTCCATCTAAGTGAACTTGATCTAAAAAAAGTGGTAAATATCTTGAACTGTTTCAAACAAAGAAAGCACTTTTCTTGTACTTTTTGCAGCATCACATATAATCAAATTAATATTATGGGAGTAGCAGTGAACAATTAATGTTGCATTAGGTACAATATCACGGATTCTTTTTTGAACTCCAGTTAGAGAGCCACTCATAACTACTGCTCCGTCGTAACCTTGACGACGGCATTTTAAAATATTTAAATCAAACTTCAATAAAGTATTTTTTAAAAGATCAGCATAACTAATAGAATAATGATGTTTTAGTAAAAAAAATCCGAGAAACGATTCTTTTATTACTATTTGTTTTTGTTCATGGTTCACTTTTGTATAACGGATAACTAAACTTACTTGATCTTTTTTGGTAATATCTTGGGTGGAGTCTAATATAACTGAAAAAAAAATACTATTCCTTATCTCATTGCAAATTGTACGACGTAAGTCTGTTGACAAAATGTCTATTAGTTAATTTTGAATCGAGGCACTTTTTAAAAAGGGATAAAATTCAGCAAGTAAATAAACCGTCCTTAAAAAATTGCCTTCAGTAGGATTATTGATTTGTTTACTACCTTCATTGCCTCTTAAAGCTGAATTACCAGCAGTTAAATAAAGTATTATTTTAATTAAGAGTTAATATATTTCTCCACTTCATCGCTTCATCAGAATACTGTTTTTCTAATTCAGCATCAATAGTATGAGTTTTGGCACATATTGAACGAAGTTTAGTAGCATCTAAGTGTTGAATGGAACATTCATGCCTTTGTATACATTGAGATAAGTGGTTCCAATCATTAATACCGTCAATCCAATATGACTTGAATTTACTATAAAATCTGTCAGCAAATAGCCAACAAGTTTCACAATATGATTTATCCAGACAAACAGAGTAACATAACCATAATCGAGGTATTCTTGTACCAGACTTGGTCGTCAAATAATAGTAGGTAACTAGTTGAAAAACGTTTTCCATCACTGTTAATTGGGAAATTCATATCTGGCTTACATGGTCCAAAAAGTAATATACTTTGCTTAAGATTTTTATTTGTAATTAGTTCTGGAAATAATGCTTTGTCAGTTGGAAAATCTTCCTGAAGATTTAACAAATTCATAACACCACCATACAAATCTAAGTAATAATTAAAAAAAATATTAATCAAGTAGACACAAAAAGTATTTTGTCTTTTTTTAAATAGTACCTGCAGAAGACTGATCAACTAAAATGTCATCATTAACTTTACCAAGCACAACATGAGAGTCACTAATAGTTTTGTTATCTTTTACAGTTATAATTTTAGGGGGATTTACAATTTTCTCAATATCTATAATTAAAAGAAAAAAAATTTTTAAGATAAATTGTTAACTAAATAGTTAACGAAAATTGGCTATTCCAAAGTAATTTAATTAAAAATGTATGCATTTAAAAGAGAGCAATATTTAGAACAAATTCAACAAATAATAGTTAAAATAATTTAGAAATTAAAACTGATGTGAAATTAATTCAAAGATAAACTTAATAAATGAGGTATTTACTTGAAGTATACCTATGCCACAGTTTCAATACAGTTCAAAATTTGTTCTTCTTCAACTTCTTCATCTTTATCATCAAAATTATCATTATTTATTACATTTTCAACTTCAATTTCAACAATACCTCTAGATTTCATTAATATGGTTTCAGCTAAAAAAATGTAATGCCTTTTTGATTAATAAATTATTTGAATTATCTATTTAAAACACTGTTTTATTGTTTAAAGTAATTTTACATTTAGGTTTGAATGGTTCGATAGTATTTCTTTTGAAGTACCATTTATATTTTTCTTAATTTTCTTAATAACTTGTTTTAAACAAATTAATAAACAATTATTTGGTAATTATTTATTCAAATAAAGGCTGAAGTAAACAGATATATTATAGAAAAATAGCTTGGGTATATGCTACAAATTTACTCAAAACATCTTGTCACATGTTTAATGAATGGTATGTAAATTAACAAAAATTGACATCGATACATTCAATTAAAGCTTAGAAATTAAATTAATAATAAACTTAATAAATGAGGTACTTACATGAAGTAGATGCTAAAGGTTCAATTTTGTACTTATCGTTATTAAGCTGACTACATCCGAAGAAACTGTTGATTTTTTTATTCGTATTTAAAATATAATTTTCCTTTTCTTGTTTTCTTTTCCTTTTGGCCGCACCACTTAGAATTTTTCGTGGCATATTTATTTATAATATATACGTATTTAATAAGGTAATAATTTTAATACACAAATGTGAAATGAGTAAAGATCAATGTTAAACAAAAAATACACGATAGACCAGGGACGGATTGAAATTACAGACCAGCCCGGGAAAATACTTTTTTACCGGCCCACTATTTGTTGGGAGCTTGATGGCAACTGGTAAGTGTTACCATACTGAAGAATGAAAATACAATTTTTTTTTAGTATTTTAAAGGGTAGTCTACTGTAATACATGTTATTATAAAATCAACCTTTAACAATAAAATGTAATAATAAAAATAATAATAATAATGGAATAATAGTAGTATTACCTACACATAAATGTTACATAATAAAATGTTAGTACCTAATTTTTTTTATTTGAATAAATGATGAAACTGGTTTTATTTACAATGAAAGATTTTTTTAACTCTTTAACTCTCTTTTTGTATAATTTTTTTAATAATTATTATACCAGGATGGGTATTAATGAGTTAAAAGTTTAACCTACCTTGAGTTGATTACATTTCATGATTGAATTGGCCGGACTTAAAAGTCCCGTCAGTCAGAAACGATTTTGCCTATATTTGTATTTTGTTTCTGCTTGACGGTTGAATTCAAAATAATAATACAATTTTAGAAATTATTTTAGAAAATGACTAATCTAAATATCGAAGACATTGAGAAATATCTAGAAGAGATTCCAGATGATGCTGATGTTATATCAGATTTTGATGATAATGATAATGACTCTGAAATTGATTTTGACCCACTGGATGTTGCAGAAAGCCAGGATGTCCAAGCTGATTATGAGTTTGATATTGAAAACTTGGGTGAGTCTTTTTGCATAATATAATATTTATGAATTAGACACTGCATACTGTTTTACTTGCATACTTGTTTAGATATTATGATTGAGGATGACATTTGGACATCATCAACGTCAATTGCTCAGAATATGCCAATTAATGATATTATATCTAACAGTAGTACAAATAAATTACAAAATATATATTGTTTAGACTCTGTAGATATTGATAGGAAAATTAGTATGCCTACAAGATCAAATAAAAAGAAAAAGCCTGTACATACAACCCAAAATGCTGGTAAGCAATTATAAATTATGTTATAATGCACAAATTTATATGATATAGTTATTAATTTTTTAGATTTAGATAATAATGATGATGATGTCTGCAATTTGATGAACATGAGTATGGCTACAATATTAAAAAAAAAAAAAAGAAAAAGTCTGCACATCAAACACACAATGATGGTAAGCAATTATTAATTTGTGTTAGAGTATATAATTTTATATTATATATTTTGATAATATTACTCCTGATGTGGAAGGCGATGAAGTAGACAATATGTCCCTGCATTGGCACAGTAAATCAGATGTTAGAACTGAAAGACCTGAGAGTCTTGGATGTGTTGGAGCCAACGAATCTAACTTCATTCAATGTAATACCCCGACTGATGTTTTTATAGTTTTCATGGATGTAATAATAGATGATTTAGTTTATCAAACAAACTTGTATGGTACGCAAAATGATAGGACACTAAAAATAACTAAAGATGAGATGCTGGTATTTTTTGGGATAAATTTTTTTATGGGCTACCATGAACTTCCGGCATGGAAAGACTACTGGAGTAGTTCGCCTGACTTGGGGGTAAAATTTGTGTCTGATGCCATGTCTAGAAATACATTTCAAAAAATTCTACAAAATCTTCACTGCAATGACAATGCAAGTTTACCCTCAAATAATAAAGATAAACTCTTCAAATTACGGACCATCATTGAAAAACTTAATATTTCATTTCGTAATAACTATTTTGGTACACAACTCAGTGTGGATGAGAGCATGGTAAAATTTAAAGGCAGGTCCACTCTCAAGCAATATAATCCCATGAAACCTATTAAACGTGGGTACAAAATTTGGAGCATGGCTGACCAAAATGGGTATATGTTAGCATTTAAAATCTACCAGGGTATAGAGGAGACCATAAACCCAGAATTTAGTAGCCTTGGACTTGGTGAGCGGGTAGTGTTAGAGTTGACAATAAAGTCAGTATGGAATCAATATAGAGAAATTTATTTTGATAATTTCTTTTCTTCGACAAAACTAGTTCAACAATTAAAATTACAAAAAACCCTTGCGTGTGGTACTGTATGAACTAATAGAAAAGGGTTGCCAAAAAAAATTATGGATAAGGAAATGAAAAGGGGTATGTCTGATTCTAAGTTTTTGGTAGATGGAATATCATTTTTTAAATGGATGGACAACAAACCTGTTCACCTTATATCAAATTTCCATGGTTCGGAAATAACTAGTGTAAAGCGAAAAGCAAAAGATGGGTCAGCAGTAACAGTCCCATGCCCTTCAGTAGTTTCTGACTATAACAAGTATATGGGAGGTGTGGATCATGCTGATAGATTGAGGGCATTATACAATATAGATAGATCGATCTATATATCTATAATATATCTATATATATCGTTTGTTTTTTGGACTTATAGACATCATGTTTGTTAGTTCATATGTGGTGTATACCACAATATTCAATAAAATTTCTGTCTTGGAGTATAGAAGATCCGTAGTACAAGGATTACTCACAAAACAATCATTAAAAACTAAAAACTCTCCAGCTCAAAAACAAAAAAACAATAAACGAAGAAAAACTGGATTTTCTGTATCAAGGGATGTTAGAACCGGAAATACTGGAATACACTGGCCATGTTTTGTCAAAGAACGTGCAAGATGTGAGGTTTGTAGTTCAAAGGCGATTGAATCGAGGCCTCACTCAAAGTGCTCACATTGCAACGTTTTTTTGTGTTGCAATGAAAAAAAAAATTGTTTTTCTGAGTATCATGAAATATAAATGATATTCTCAATATTCATTATCTTAATAAAGAATTGTTAATTTAAAGTTTTAGTATTTTTCATTAATTATTTAAAAAAATTCCTTAATTATGTCCTTAATTTTTACATTGTTTATATGTAAAACAAAAGATAATTTTTACCAGTCAGTGCAGCAGAAAAAATAATCATTGAATTTGTATCTAGTGTAATTTGGGAAGGTGAGTCAGACATTGATATAGAATTAGAGCTTCCTGAAAAGAGAAGAAAAACTATTCCAAAACGTTTTGGATAAAATTCAAGTACTAACCATAATAATATAGAAGATGGAGATACTCCTGATAATGTTTATAAAATCAAAACATTTAACGTAGAAGTGGAAAATATTATTGTCTGCTTAGAATGTAGATTTTTGGGCAGTAAAGAACTATATTATGATCTTGAACTATTTAATCCAAGAAGATTTGAAGAAATTGAAAAAAAATTCAATTCATTCTGAAGCTATCATAAAGTTTGTGAACTTTTACATAGTATTGATAAACATAAATTAGGAGAACAATTATTATCGTTTGTGAAATTCTGGCCTCAAATATCCAAAACGGATATTAGAGATGCATATGATGTAAACTAAAACCAAAGCAATTTGCAAATAAAATTCAGACTTAGAAGATAATGATAATATGTGAACTAGAAAAAAAAATGAACGATCGTTTTCGAAACTTAAGATTCTAAAAACACGTTTAAGAAGCAGTGGCTTATTTAAGAATTTCAGGATAAGGGCAACACATTTTTGCTGGCCCCCCTCCAGTCAAAAAAAAAATATTCTTGCTAATTGTTATTATTTATTAAAACCTCTATTAACTGCTAGGTATACAATATAAATACAAAATTCAAAACTTTTTCTTCCTTGATTCAAAAGTAGCAAAATCATTAATTATTGTTTTCAAAATCTAATGAAGTGGTTATTTCAGCTTCAATTGCTAATACAGCTAAAGCCGAGCAGCGGTCTTGTGCCATTGTAGACCTTTAATAGTTTTTTATTCTTTTTAGTGTGGATAAGAACGCTCTGCACTACAATTTGTAGATGGTGTACACAAAAATATACGTAAAGCTACTTCAAAATAGGGATAAACTCTAGTAATATCATGTTCTCTTATAAACTGTTGTAGGTGTAGGAACGATTTGAAATGAATGTAACTGACACGAACACGTTCAACAGAATAAAACTATATATATTGCACAGGTAATATTAATATAATTGATATAATTATGATGCGTGCGGCGTTGACAACGGTCCGGCGAGAGATGACACCGCCGCTGCGGGGCCGGCGGCCAGACCCCGGTTGTCGGTCGCGATCTCGCGGACGTCGATAGAGACACCGCGGTCGTTGCGATAACGACCGCGACACTGTATTGTTGTAAGCTTAACTTCAATGTTTTTCATATGGCCTTGAAATTGTACACACTCATTTACAAAATATGTTGCTAAATCATTTGGGTAAGTTTTCTGCAATACTTCAGCATTTTCCCTTAATTTTTCTGGAGTAATTTTATGTAACTTAAAAAATAAAAAAACTTTTTCACCAATTCATCATAAGCAAGTTTCCTTCTTTTCAATTCATATGATAGCTTGTCAATTATTACCTTAATAAGTGTTTATAATCAAATAGTCTCAAATGAAATCTTACAGTAGCCAGTTGTAGGTAATACAGAATACTGTAATAGCCTGCAATAGGTATGCACATACGATCTTTATGAGACAAAAGGCATTCCGAGATACGACTACACGAAACTATTCGGTTTATACTGTTTATTGTTTACAGCTTTCAGCTGTGTCGCCGTGTCGGTTGATAGTTTGATATTAATAACTTCGCTATAAGCAACTATCGTCGTTTAATCAGCATTTAAATACATATTGTCATAGTGGGTTAATTATTATTAACATCTATTTTTAATATGTATTGTCGTATATTGGTTACCGGTGGGCGGTGACTCCACGCCGTGGTGAAGCTGTAAATAGCCAAATATGAAATAGGCAAGTTTGAAGTTGTACTGATATTATAAATAATATGACTGTAGCAGGGAGGGAGATGGGTACACATTTACTGGAAAAATATTAATGAATTGAAGTCAGTGTATAAAGTACGAAATAAAAATTTGCCGCTCTGGGCAACAGGACCCATAGCCCCTATCTGGATACGCCGCTGGCTTAATTGTTTGTTAGAACACAGGCTAATTTGGAATCATTGTTCTTGATGAACTGTGAAATAGAATTGTTGGAAGACATTACACCAGATCGAGTAATTGGCTTAATGTGTAAAAAAAGTACAGAAATGTTAAGAATGTCGAAAGTTTAGTTTTTAAACATTTTATTGAACTATATTTTCTCTGTATTGAACTATTTTTAATAACATACTATTTATATTTTATAATTTATACTATACGCAATCAAGATCACTAAAATAAAAATAATTATCTTAATATTGTTGTGTATTTATTTATTTTTATAGAACTTAAATTAAAATTTAGATTTGGTTTATTATTATTGTTCATGTTAATTGTATAGTTCTTCTTAGTGTAAGAAATGGGTAGATAATCTGTCTATTGTTATAGGCATGACAAAATAAACAGTTATGCAACTCGAACAAACATGGCGGATTCTTTTATGTCAACGGACCAAGATAAGCAACATAACGGCCAGGGGACCAACACTAAGCTTACTCCCGGAGAAACCACTGGAGATGGTATCAGCCGATCTCATGGGACCGTTACCCAGGGGACAGGGCGGATGTAAATACATACTTGCCATCCTCGACCTATTCTCATTTGAATTGGGGCAATCAAGTGGCACGCTCTCGTTACGAGTCGTCATCGATCGTGTACCAACTACCGCGACGCGCTCTCGATTATACATTACTCCCGCGGAACACACAAACCAGTCGTTCAAGGCGCTCACTAGAACGCGTGAACACCACAACTTCTATTTCACCGGCACGCCGCCCGAGTAAAAAAATAATTTTCCGACGAAACCCCGCAACTTAAAACCCTTTGGAAGATACCCTTAAAATCAGCAGATCGTAAACAATGCAATTCACATTTTGCATGGGTTTTAAGTTGTACGGAAAACACCTAAATTACTAAAAACCTTTCATACGTTTTACTCATCAAGAAAAGGGCCCCAGTATTATATATACCACCCAGAAAACACCGTCAAATCACCCATCTCCCCGCTGAGTATAGCACATCAGTGAGCCGGACGAGCCTAACAAACTCGTTACACACGGACACTGATTGCTATACACACACCAGCACCTGCCCCAGATTGCACAAGCCGGACGAGCACACCACTCGTTACACACGAATGTGTATATAGTCTGTACCGGCATTTCCAGTCTCGCCATCGTGCGCCGTAAAAGTACGTGTCGTCACACTGTACTACGGACACCCTGCAGCTTTACATACCACAGCACGCCGCCACGAGCCAGTCGCTGTCGTCAATTTGCGTTCCAGAGAACGAGCGTCTAGATACAGCGCCTCTTATCAGCACTATTGTTATCAGTATCACACTATCAGAGCCACAGATATAAAATTTTATATCTGTGATCAGGGCAGTTGCCTTATTACTTAATCGGTTGATTACATTTAAATATTATTAGCGCCATACTGCTATGAGTAATAACTCGAATATTATGTTATGTAATATTAAATATGTTATATGTGAATAACTCGTGACAAATTGTTTTCGTTTATACGTAAAAGTTTCAATTTTACAAATTTTTTAATCCTTTCATTTATACTACCCTGTGATTTTGTCGCATAATATGGTAAGTTCGTGTTGCCTATGGTTGCCAAAAGAGGTCTACATCTGAACAGTCCATACATTTTTTGGATCATCTTGGATGTAAACTTCATGGATCTTATGATGAGTTGGTAGAATATTTTATTACTCCTGGCATAGATTGGAAGGTAAAAATTATTAATATTTTCAAACAAACTCAAATACTATTTATTAATTGTTATTTAATTCAGATTTACTATATTGTTTTAGGGGAAGCAACAGGAAATGTATAAGGCTGATGGATAGAATATTTAATTTCCTCAATTCCTGTAATCCATTTGGTAAAGTCCAACATATAGGGTCAAAAATTAATATGGACAAAACAATCAAAACAAAGTATCACTGTTTTTATTTATTGGTCCTTAGTAAAAACTAACAAGTAATGATATAATTCACAAGTAACATACAGGGAATTAATACCTTTAAAAAATAATGCATTAGAAAAAATCCAAAAGTCCAATGAACTTGTTGGTTAAAAAAATAATATTATACCTATAGAAATATAAAAAAATTAAAAATATAAATACACATTTCTAAAATACACCAAAATACAATAATAATATAATTAATTTCTTCTTCTGATTGATTTGTCCATATGAATGTTCAAAATGGGGGTCAATATTTAAGTATGGAGTATCTTCGTTGCCTTTTAGATCACTTTTTATTTGGTTAGTAACTTTTAGTGTTGGCTTATTTAGTCTTTGTTCCTCCGGTGCTTTCGTCCTTGTTTTTTTCGTTGAATAAAACCGTAGCTGTTTGTCTTCATTTTTGTTGGATGGTTCTCGATTCTCTACATTTTTTATTAAATTGCTTTCTTGTTGATATATTACTTGTATACTTGAATCTACAGTTGTATTTATTTTTTTTAGTTGCTGATCATCGAGTGAACCTGCTTGTGACACAAACATATTGTACAGTTGCTGAATTTTATTAGCAATGGACTCAGTGGATGGTATACTGGTATAGTAAGCTGTTGTTCAGCAGGCATTTTCATACATACTTCATCATTTTCTATGGGATTACATATTACGTCCATACTTACATCATCATCAGTTACCATTGAATCCATTCGAACAGCGTGTATATGTTTACACATATTGTTTTTAATACTGTAGTCATAACATGTGCATGAAAACAAGTGAACACAACATTTGCACACAATACAAATTACTTTATATGAGCAAGGTTCATTTTTTTAAATTAAATAATCTAATTCTAATGAATTAGATTCCACCGACCAAGTATCATCTGATATTTTAATGACTTTGTAACTAACTTGCAGAGCAGAACGATGTCGACTGTTAATAGCATTTACAAAATGAGTTACTTTACCACCATTACATAATTTAACAAGTCGTTCAAAATTTTTATTTCTCACCACCTTTAGTAAATGCCACAACAGAGCATCAAGCCGTTGATTTTTTTCCCTTTTAAATAGACATGTTTCAAAGTTTTATGAAAAGCTTCTAAAACCAATATGGTATTGAGCATAGCCTGCCGCCGGTAACATGCAGCCCACAACTTTTTCCTGTGAACATAAGTACTTACAAAGTATGCCTTGAAGTTATGCATTGCAGGCTCTTCTTCTAACTTGCACTGAAAAGAACTTAATAAATTTTCAAACTCTGTTGTATCAGATTCGTCTAGTAAGACACGGAGGGTTTTATAAACATATGCTTTTGTAGTTTGTGATCCATCAATTTTTTTTAAATTTTTACGCCAATTGTTGTCGATATGCCATTTACATAAAAGATGGAATTTAGGAATAGGAGACATCATTTTTATCCATGCATTCCAGAATGCAGGAGCGTCATCACTCATGAATACGTTAGGTGTAAGAGAACCAGTACATTCTTTGATTTTTGAAAAAAAAACAGTCATGTGCACTTCATCAATCTTTGAACTAATACAAAAGCAGCAGGGTATCCTTCACCGAATTCGTCAATCACAATAATGGTTGTTAAATTAAAATTATATTGGTTCGTGCCATGAGTAGAGTCTATACATAATTTTTCACTACTGAACTTCTCAAGAACAGCCTTCTGTGTTTCAGTTAGTATAATTATCATGAAATCGTCTTTTTCTAATGGGAAATACTCAGTTCCTTGTGTTTTGTATAAAATAATAGGATTTAATGATTTATTAGGATTCTGAGCAAATCGCTTTACCTGAAGATCCACACTTATTGCATCAACATCAAGTAGCTTGTACTTGTGAAGTAAACCAAATTTAGCAGAAATGTTATATATGTTCTTCCTTGTTATAATATTTTTTTTTCGATATTAAAATCAATTTCATTGCGGAATTGATCAATTATGACATTTGGCGGGATTCCACTTTCAATTTTACCTATAAATATAATAATAAGTACATGTTTAGGTATAATTTCAAAATATAATGTAGTATACACTAATATTTAAGGAATTGAATATAATACTTACAAGATTCACTTTAACTGAATTAATTGGAATAATATCCTAATACATATAAACAATTGTATAACATTAAATATAACAAACATTAATAATATATTTAACCAAAATAATTCACATAGGTACTTAATTTTTTAAGGATTGGAATATAATACTTACAAGATTCACTTTAACTGAATTAATTGGAATAATATCCTAATACATATAAACAATTGTATAACATTAAATATAACAAACATTAATAATATATTTAACCAAACCTATATTTACATGATTAATTTAATATTAATTTACTATGAACCAATACAAATACAAAATAAATACAACTGTAGATTCAAGTATACAAGTACTATATCAACAAGAAAGCAACTTAATAAAAAATGTAGAGAATCGAGAACCAAAGACGAAAGCACCGGAGGAACAAAGACTAAATAAGCCAACACTAAAAGTTACTAACGAAATAAAAAGAGATCTAAAAGGCAATGAAGATACTCCATACATAAATATTGACCCCCATTTTGAACATTCATATGGACAAATTAATCCATTAACTATAAATACTATAATTAATACATACATATTAGACCGTGTTCAGCTCCACCTAGTAAGAGTAAATCTCAAATATAAATATAGGTATACCAGCAATTGTTTCTTGAACATTAGTTGGGATAGGAAGAAATCTAATCTCATTTTGGTGACCAAGGTGAGTTGTACAATATGTTGCTTCTATATTGATCAGCCCAGCAACGGTTCTTATAAAAGAAGGGCAGCATTGATCTAAATCATTAAAAAATAAAAATTATAAAATAATGTGTTGTATAGACTTATAACATTAGATTTTTACCAATTTTACAAGAACCAGTTATCTTCAATGCACGTTCTCCTTTTCCTTTTGATTTAAATACTCCAGATCGATGTCAGTAGTACTTTGTAGTAACTATTTTGTCAATATTAGACATAGCGTGTCGAAGTGGCCAGTTACTCCTTCTCTTTCCAATCATAAAACTCTAATATTTAAATATTATTATTAATATTTAAATATTAACAAGACTGGTTTTGCATATTAATTTTTTAAATCCTTACCTTCAAGAGAACCAAATATTAATTTTATAATTTCTAACTGTTCACTAGAAGTTGAAGCCATAATTAATATAATATAACATATATTGTTAAATAATATAATATGTAATATTTAAATTTTAAAATACGTAATCAAACGATTGTCTGATAAGGCAACTGTCGTGATAGTATGATACTGATACTAGAATAATAGCACTGATAAGAGGCGCTGTCTTTAGACCACGGACTAAGATACCACGGGCCTATTCTCAAAGGTATCGAAAGCAGTGGTCGAATAAAACTGTTCGATTGTGAATATTCGATCATTAATATTTATTCGACCCATTAAATTCGATCAATCGTATTCTCAAACAACTATCGAATATTGAATGTCGAATATTATTTTATTCGATATACTTCTCGATTATCGAATAAAATCATTGTTTTGTCCATGAAATGTTCAGTTGTTATCACAAATTGATTGCTGATAGTGCCTGATACAACATTTAAAATTTAAAACTTGTTTGACACTACTCGTGCTAAGTCCTTACTCCTTACTGCTTAGAGCCTTAAACATATTAATTAGTATTTAGTAGTCTACTCCAAGTATATAAAAACAATAAAAAGTGTTACTAAAGTTACGATGGCTACTATGAGTACTGACAAAAAAATTAAAGGCAAGTCCGTCACTCTGGCGCAAAAGGAATGTCTTGTGGATTTTATGGAGACGCATCGAGAGTTGACAAAAGGCAAATTCACTACCAATTTCACCCACAAAAATGCCCAACATCTTTGGCAAAAAATAACTTTAGATTTAAATTCAATGATAGGTGCAACAAAAACCACAGAAAAATGGAGAAAAGTAACTATCAATTATACAATTTAAATTATGACAAATATTCAGATAGGTACACTAAATACTTTTTTTAACATCCATTAGACTTGGACGGATATGAAATGTAATGCCAAGACTAAAAGTGTAGGACTTAAAAAAAAGTATTTCTAAAACGGGCGGAGGCGGTTACGAGCAAGAAAACACACAAGCACCTATAGAGGAAAAGATTGCTGTAATAATAGGAGAAGTACCCATTTTTGGCCAACCACATACAGTTGAACCGACTGTTCATTTTGATAATTATGAATTTTTAGTTGATTCTGCAAATAACAGTATTTTACAGTAAGAATTAAATGTTGAATTGTTATGAGATTTTTCTTATTGAAAAACTAATATCTCATCAATACATAATAACATACAATATTAATTATATATTCATGAAATCATGAAGTCTAAAAGGTAAATAACTGAAAGGTATATATTGTATAGGCCATTAGAAAAATCAGTTTATCAAAATGTATGTGGAGAAGAATTATTCCCTAACGATTTACCATTACCAATTGAGTCATCATCTTCTAAAATATTGGAAAATTTACAGTCATCATTTAATGAGTTTGCATCTAAGCCCATAGAAATGTAATTTATATAAATAATTTATTACATTATAAGGTACAGTTTTATTTTTTTAAATATTTACATTTAGATCCTAAGATAATGTTATTGACAACTCTATCAATTTTATTAATCAAGACAAAGTAATTACTGAAGAGCCTATTAAATTATCTGTTAAAAAAAGGTAAGCATACCATTTATAAGAAAACTACCTTGAAAAGTTAAATTATTTCATACAAAATTGTTTTGTTGATATCCAAGGCTGGGCACTAACTAGTTAGTTTTAATTCATATTAACTTTGTAACTTAACTAGTAAGTTGAATGTAATGTGTAAAATAGTCAAATCTAACTCGTTAGAAAAAAAACTAACTAGTTATTATTATTATTATTATTTTTTTTTTCATTTGAATTTCCAAAATGAATATTTTAATTTTAATTAATATTTTAAGTTCTCATACTGTTATGTATATTTTTTATTTTGTTTCACTCTTTATGTTCTAATAACTGATAAGTGATTTACCAATTAATTGAAATTATTACTTAGTTAATTAGAACATTTTGGTCAAATTAAAGGTTTAATTTAATTTTTCAGTTTTAATCAATAATTGAAGTTAGATAACTAAATAACTTATTATTTACATTTCAACAAAAAGGTTTTTTAATCTATAAAAAAACTAACTTCTAACTTCTACTCCAATTTAAGTTACTATTCTCACCAAACTAACTAAGTTCGAAATTCGGACAGTTTCAGAAACTAACTTATATTCTAAGTTACTTTTTTTATTTAATAACTTAACTTCAACCAGTTGAAAAAAATGACTAACTTGCCCAGCTTTGTTGATATCCATGTTAAATGATTCGAAAATTTCTAAATTTGTTATAGTTTTGTATAAAATAAATTATTTAACTGGTATTCAATTCAACTTCTTTCTAGTAAGCTTGATATATTTCAAAAATCTGCTGATGCTTCTTTGCAATTGCATTATGCCAGTGAAGAGAGAAATGGAATTCTTAAATCATATTATACAGCAAAGTTAAATCTTTTAGAAAGAATCACAATAGCAAAAGAAAAGAAAGTTGCTTTATTGGAGGCTAACAGTAAATTTAAAGAATGATTAATATTGAACAAAAAATGTTATTTGCCATATTATTAATTGTGCATACCTTATCATATCACCAAAGTATTATTTTTATTTTGTTTTTAAAATTCTATATAGTTTATAATTTAGCTTTTATATAGCCTTATATAGGTTATTGCTTCTTTATAATTAATATGTTACTTAATTTTTAGTATTTCAGTTAGATCTTGTACAACATTATTCCATGTTAGTTTGAATAGTAATTTGTTCAAGTTTACCAAGTTTTATAATAATTAGTTAATACTCAATTATTTGTATAGGTTAAGATTCAAATAAATGAACAAAGATGTAATTTTTTATTTTGTGATACAATCATTTAATTAATACAAAGTTTGAATAATCTGTTGAAGTTTTTTAATAATTAGTTAATACTCAATTATTTGTATAGGTTAAGATTCAAATAAATGAACAAAGATGTAATTTTTTATTTTGTGATACAATCATTTTATTAATACAAAGTTTGAATAATCTGTTGAAGTTTTTTCATAATTAGTTAATACACAACTATATTTGTGTAATTTAAGATACAAATAAATTAACAAAGATGTGATTTTTATTTTTTACTTTGTTTTACAATAAAAAATACATAATATTTTGTTGAAGGTGAGTTATTAATTTTTATAAAAATTGTTAGGTTGAAGGTTGATAAATGAATAATTCATAATTTAATAATAATTCTCTAAATATGAAAATATGAATCTATCATTAGCTGTTGCATACGTTTTCCTGCCATAAGTTCTGTATTATTACGATTTACATTTGGATCATTTGGAGCAGCATAGGTACCTATTTAAAAGTCCTAAATCATTTTCATCATATTCATTATTATTATCTATGAGAGGTAGATTGTTAATTATGCAAATATTGTGTAATATAGTGCAGGCATTAATTATACTAGAAGCTTTCTCTGGTTTGTAGTGGAGAACTCCATGTTTAAGTAAACACCTAAAAAAATATAAATAGGTATTATAAGTTTATAGATAGGCAGGTAGTTCTAGAGTAGGTAGAGTAAACATAGGGTAATACCTAAATCTCATTTTAAGAACACCATTACACCGTTCTATAATTGATCTCGTTCTACAAAACCAAGTACCTATTAAATCTAGTTTCAGGGCTATTTGGTTGATATTCACTAAGCGGTGTCAATAGCCACGGTCTCAAACCATATCCAGAGTCCCCTATTTTAAAAAGTAAATCAAGTTACTAATAATTACATTTATAGGTACTTTTGTAATTAATAATTTAACTGAAATGTACCCAATAAAGACGTATGTCCTATGGAATGCAAATGTTTCAACAATCCTAACACATGACTAAGACGCCAAATATGACTATCATGAGAACTTCCCGGAAATTTTACACATACATTTAAAATTTTCAGGTTTGAATCGCAAATCTTTATTAAACATAGTATACAATATTTTATACTATATATTATTTATTCAAACTTAAACAATTAAAAATATTAATTTATTCAATTTCAAAATGTATAATATCATGTTTAAAATTACCAGTTGTGTATTAATGCTGTGGTAGCCTTTTCGATTAACATATACATGTTCAGGATAAACGAGATCGTCTGTATTGGGTGGCACAATAGCAATATGAGTTCCATCAATGACACCAATTACTCCTGGTATTCCAAATTTTTCATAGAAACTTAGCAAAAAAATAAATGTACCTAATTAAGTTAAATGTTATACAGTAGAGATTTTGATGAAATATATTACCCTAAACGAACTTCTTTAAGTTCACTAACAGAACTTGGAAAATGTATATATTTGTTGAGTATTTCTGGAACATTCAAAGCATTGGCTACTTCAGTAATGCACCTACTTACAGAAGCTTGACTCACAGAAGCACCTCTATGTTCCCCAATATCTTGCTGGTAGCTTCCACTTGCAAAAAATCTTAGTGCTGTTAATAACTAACAATACAATAATAATATTGGTATAAAAACAGAAAACACCATGATAAACCTATCAAAAATAACAGTGCCTAAAATTGTGTGCAGTAGCAAAATCGAAGTAAAATAATTGTTATTATTTAATAATACCATAAGTTTACTGACTTAAGCTATTTAGTCTTTAATTTGAAATTTCTAGTCATCTATCAAGGACTATTATAATAATTAATAAAAACATGATTCATTTTCTATATTTTGTTATTAATGTTATTATATGTATTTTTTAATACCTTTAGCACAATAAAAATTAATAAATATAATTGTTGAATAGTAGGTACCTACTTATTGATGTAGTAACTATTGTAGTAAATAGACCTATATGGCTATATACTATACAATACTACCTAATAGTAGGTAAGTTATATTAATGTATGAAAATCAATTTATATTGATTAATGGATAAACATTAGGTATAATCAACTTATAACAATAACTAAATATTAATAAATAACAAAAACAATTATGGAACAAAGTCGTATTATGTGCACTACCTACTATAGATTCATTAAGTATAGATATTTTCAAAAGATTTGTACTAGTTAAATAAGCGAATTTTAAGCACTGAACAATACATTTTATATTTGTGTGTATTATAATTTTCTATAACTAACCTTTCTTTCGATACTTAGTCCAGCAGATGTATTCGGACTTTTTATATAAGGAGTCAGCAGATTGGTTAACTCTCGCACTAGAACCTTACTTAACCGATAGGTCCCAATGAATTGTCGGTCAGAGAGAACTTAAAAATTAAAATGTTTATTATGATAGCTAATTTTTATAAAACAATTATATTGATATGATTAAATATATTTAAAAAAAATAATAAAATCTAAGAGTATCAATTTATAATACGTACTACACTTCAAAATGTATGAAGCGATTTTAACTGGATATTTACGGGCAAGTAAAGTACCTATTCTATTACTTGATTAATAATTGAAATGTATGTAATTACCAACGAAAGGATCTTCTTGTATTAAAACTCGTCTTCCCTCATTTTCAAAGTTCATATCGTTTAATAAGTCCATATTCATTGCATTTAATTGCATATTATACACTTCAAAATCGTCATCAATTAATGCCATATTGCTTAAATTACCTAGTCTACACGTATTATATTAATACAAAGTTAACGAATATCTTTACAGTTCAAGGGGGTAGATCGTAGATAAAATATAAAGAATATACTAAACGAGTGTTGTGCAAATAATTCAAGAAAAAAGAAATGAAGACATGTGATAATGTTGTGTCGAAAACCGTTTTCGTCACCTAATTGACTATCGAACAAAATTAGTAATGTCGGATTAGTAGTCGAAAACCGTTTGAGAATAGGGTTTTTTTTTATAATCGAAACCACAGTTCCTTTCGACCTATTTTTGATCGAAAGCCGGTTTCGATACCTTTGAGGACACGAGATGAATATTGTGGTTACGAAATGTATTACAACAGGCGGAGTTCGGGGGTATATCTTCCTTTTAGCATTACTAGCGCTGTCTTAGTGGATATTTATGGAACTAGAAATTTGTATGATGTGTTCTAGTTCTATAAGTATCCACTAAGACGGCGCTAGTAATGCTAAAAGGAAAGTATCCCCCCGAACACCGCCTGTTGTACTACATTTCGTAGTCAACCCCCCACACCCTCCAACCTAGTCGTGTCAAGTCCTGTATATCTTAGTCCGTGCTTTAGACACTCGTTTCCAGAGACAAACAATCATTTGCAGTCTGGACGTCACCCACAACAGTTGTTTGCCGCCAAGCCGCCACCCGAGCCGTGCCAAATGCCGTCATACAACAGTTCAAAGCCATAAGTCGTATACGCCAGTAGATACTAGATCACCTGGAAGGGATCACTGCGCCTCTATCCGCACTTTGAATATTGTGTCAACACGCCACCGCTCGAGCTGAGCCTATTACACAATACCATTTCCACCAAACTGTGAGTTTAAATGTTCATATTCCCTCCCCTTTATGTAATCCCGATAACTATTTTTATTGTAAACTCTGAGGAGTATAAATAAAATCTATATAAAAGAAAATAATGTTATATAAAACATATTTCTTGTACCACATTGAGATAATAAGCATATTGGTTCAAAATATATTATATCAATAAAAACAAATTATTATCAACCAATTGCGTTTCATTACAAAAGTTAATGAAAATGTAAATAATCACAATGTTTATGAAGATGAACGCATTGAGAAGTAAATTTAATTAATTGTGTATTATGCGTTTTATATGTGTAGCTATTTTGCAAGACCATCAAAAAGTTTTTTTAATTTACACTAGTAATTTTTGTTAATAACTATTATATATATTATTTTTATTTTGAGGTTATAACTGTTTTGTGATTTTTTTTTTAATTATTTTTTATTGTTTACGTAGATATATAGTTGACCTTTTAAAAGAATATGATCCAATATTAAAAATGCACTTTGAAACAGGACCTAAAAATTCTATGTATTGTAGTAATTACATACAAAACGATCTCATTGCGTTCATCAGTATTGTGATTAAAAGACAATTAAAAGTTGCGTTAGTAAATGAAAAAGTGTCAATAATGGCTGATGAGACTAGTGACGTTGGTCACCATGAACAGTTATCTGTTGTAATTAGTTATTTTGATAGATTGTAATTAGATAATTTGAAATTCAAAAACAGACCAATAGAACAGTTTGTAAACATGAAGAGAATTATTTAATGCTTTAAATGATGTATTTTAAGGATATGAAATCAAATGGGAAAATGTTATTTCTACTTGTTTTGACGGTGTTGCAACTATGTTGGAAGTATAACGGGAGTTCAGACAAAATTCAAAATTTTTTTTGGTGCATTGCTTGAACTTAATATTAGTTAATTCTATTGGCAAATACAATAAAGTGACATTTAACTTCTTCGGGTGTATCCAAATGATATATAACTTCATTGAAGCTTTTATACCAGGTATGCAGTTTTTGAAAATGTGGCAAAGTTGATTAATATTAAATTGAAAACATTAAAATCATTAACAAACAATTGATGAGCATATCGGTGTAACGATACACAATTATCGATACATTTACTAGTAACGAAATACGTGGCGCCATCTGTGCACGAATCAAGATACCACGATGTTCCTCGTGGTAAACGTACGTACCTACTTACAGTAAACTTGTAATAAATACTTATTACAAGTTCGGAAAAGCGTAAACATCAATCCCAAACAGTACTAGAGACCAATGCAACACACCGTGATGTCGTTGTAACCAAACCGCATTAGAAAACACCTACTTCGTAAAAACAAGAGTGCCGCCAAGACGCCACACAGAGAGCGCGTCGGCAACAAAGCTTTACGACCGGCATCAGATTATGCGACTTTGTCAAAAGCTGCGGACAAAGTTCGTATAATCTATGCCGGGACTATACTTAGGACACAATCCCGAAACCAACAGTCATGGCCGCCCAAGAGTAATAAGCACTACAACAGCTCATAAACCACGTTAAACACATACCGTAAAGACACAAATTCAAACGGCATAAGGTACTAGTGAACCACAGATATACTGGTCATATACTGGTGATTGTTGATCTTATAATAATCAATAATCATTGTTCCAGTTGTAGATGTGGTTAATATATCACTCAGATTTATATTAATATCAACAACAGTTTCTTCTTGAATGAAGGATTTTGTATTTTTTGGTAGTATTGTGTCCAACTTATTATTTGATGATGTATTTTGCCAATTTTCTAAGAAGTGACTACATTTTATTTTGATTCCTAATGGAAATTTATTGAAAATTCATTTACATGAACAGATTTCATAACTGCTAATTAACAATTAATTCATCTAAAATATTTTTAATTTAAACTAAAAATATAACTGGGTACCTAGTACAATACGTAATTGAATGACACAAAGATACAATAACCCAGTAACGTTTGATACAGAAATTCTAATCTCCAACTTTTTAGCAAATCATGTAATGGTTGTAAATCTTCAATGGGATATTCATAACCTTGCAATAATGGCATTTGTAGTGTTGATGATTCCAAATTTAAACTCTATTTAATAAATAAAATGCCTATTTTATATACAAGAGTTTATACATTTATAAATTAAATTAATTATTATTTATTAATTCAACTTGCATGAATATCATTAAAACAATCTTGCAACTACAAAGCGTCATTAGTTGAAAGGGTATCTTCAATATTGTTTTCAGTGTCCATTATAATGGGTTACAGCAGTGGCGTATATAGGAGGAGGTGGGGGTTCAACCCACCCCCACGTTGAAATTGTTTTTTGGTACGGCACTCATACGAATTTATTTGATCAATGTATCAACTAAAACCCAACAGCTCAACACGGGATAAAACAAAAATGAAAATCGCAGGCGAGGCGTATAAATAAAAATAGGTGTTCACAATTTATATGAAATAGGTATTACACTATTACTAGGTAATTGAGATTTGAGATAATGACGGACCGTCGTGCGACTCGTGCGTCGTCGATAGTCATAATATCTATACTATCTATAGTAATATTTATCTTAGATATTAATAGTAATATTATATCTCAGTTCATGGTATCGACTTTAACGGCCACTCAAATTCTCGATAATATACTTATTAGCTATTACGACTAATAAGATGCGATGAACAGAATTTAGTTTGTTTTCTGACTTAGGTTGTTTCAGTATATTATGGTAAATTCAGTGCTTTGTGCGAGTCGCGTGTGTTATAATTTGTATCATTTAAACGAATATTTCTGAATTCTGTTACAATCCAACCATCCACGAGGTATCAAGTTCTAAAAAGCATCAACTATCAAGTATTCAAGTATGACATCACAACCTTCATTACTACAATTTTTTAATAAAAAAACCGCTGTGCCCGAGCCTAATCATACTAATGATATTCCTTTTTCATCAAATATTATTAATAACACCGAAATTGAGAGCAACACTGATACAACTAATTTAACTGAATTAACTGAAATGTGTGATATTGGTGTATATATTAATACAAGAATATCTGACGATAAGCTTGAGTATGATTTATTGAAAAAACCATGGCAGCCTCATACTTCATACAACTTTACGGTAATTTAAAAAAGAAAATTAAAATTTCAACTATCTTGGATTACTCGTTTTTCCTGGTTAGTATATTCAAAAAAACTAGAAGTTGCGTTTTGTAAAATGTGTGTATTGTTTTCAAACGAAACATCGGGAAAAGGTAGCTCTGTAAAAGTCGGTGCATTAGTTAATAAACCATTTATTAATTGGAAAAATGCTCTGGAATGTTTTACAACGCTGAACCCACTTAAATGCTGACTATCATAAATTGTCAACGTTAAGAGCGGATGACTTTGTTAAAATAATAGAATATAAAACATTTGATGTAGCTACACTAGTAGATTCTTTTAAAAAGCTCAAGTTATCGAAACTCGCTTAAAATTAATTCCAATAATAGTAACTATTATTTTTTGTGGTCGTCAATAGTTAGCAATGAGAGGTCACGACGATAGTGGCCCTATTTTTAATTGCGAAAAAGGTAATAATGATGGTAACTTTCAAGCTTTGTTAATAAATAATTTTGCAAAGCTGCCACGAAAATTGGATTTTTTGCTTTAATTTAATTTATATAATATTCTAGTTTTTATAATTTATTATTAAAAAGTGAATTATTAACTTCCCTATGGAAGGAGTTATGTTAATGGGTGGACCACTAAATTTATCAATTCTATAAGTTTCAAAATCGTTCATAACTATTTTTCATTGTTTACTTCAAATGCTTCAAAATGTGAATGAAAGTTTTCTAATTTAATCTGTTTTACTATTGTTAGCGATATTATTTCTAATACTTTTATTTTTGTAAGTCATGACTCACTGGTGGCGCGCGTCTCCGCCGTTACGGTAGGGCTCTAGATATACAGGTATGCTCGTCCGCCATTTTCTATCCACTGTTGTTGTTGAGCAGTGGCGGTACGCTCTAGATAGTAGATATACTTGTACTAGATAATACGGGCGAATGTAAGTTCCTACACGAGACCTAGCAGGTAAACAAGATACATATGTTAGTTTCTACACGATAGAATAAGGTGCATATGTACCTTATTCTGGTAAGTACCTACACAGTAAAAAGCAGGTACATGTGTAAGTTCCTACACGGTAAAAAAAAGTACACCTGTAAGTTCCTACACTAAGTATATTATAAGTTATCAATCTAATATCAGTTATATCATATTATAAGACTGTCATACATTTTAACCCTTTATTCTATATTCTATATAATTCTTTATAATATTTAATAATTTACCAAATAAATATTATCAATTTAATAATCTTAATAAAATAAAACAATAAAAAAAAAAATATTATATTTTATGAGGTTTATTTCTGAAGCTTATACCTTAAACGTAGTCATATTGATTGATTTGTTTAGTTGAATATTCTTTTATTTTTTGATTTATAAAATTTTCTTTTTCAGCATGTTTTTGACTTATTTTAATTACTAAGTTACTATCGATTGTTCTTATTTTTATGTATGTATTCACTTGAAATAATTTGAGAATATTGATAATTTTAAAAATATGCGGATGTTGATGATAAAAATTTTTATTGAAATCCGAATGAAAACTTGTCATGTGTATTCTATCAGAAGATTGTTTAGCCCATATTTTCGGTGGAAAAATACTATTATTTGTAATATAACTGTCAATTAAATAATCACAAAATTCTGTAATTGCTGAATTTTTAGGTTTATCTGCCATAAAATGATCTATAAAACAATCCTCCGCTTCCTTTGGATTTAGAAAAGAAAGTCCAAAAATATGTACCAACCATTTTCCTACATCGTCAAATGCTGAATTAAATTGTGACGCATAACCTATATTTTGTAGTTTACGAAACCAAGCTTGGTCCAAATGAAATCTACAGCCAAACACCTCTGTTTCTGGAAAAATTTCATAAACAGCTTGATGCATCGCTATTTCAAAATATTTATCAGATATTTTAATTTTTTTAATAATGTGATAGGTATATGTTTTTTTTCCTTATTTGGTAATAAGCAAAACATTTATGGTACCTATATATTCCATTTTTAATTCCATGAATTGTGTATAATTGCGTGTAATATTTATCACAATAGTTAAAAGTACCATCCATATATACAAAATCTAATTGTTTTAAAAATGCTATTTGCTGTTTGTGTTACATGAAAAAATAATTATTTAATTTTTCTTTTGCAGGAATTACTTATTTGTTGCCGCTTTAAAGTTTCATCACTTGCATGACTATGGTCAAAACACGATCTATCTATATTAATCAAATTAACATTTAAACACTCTGTATAGACTTTTGCCTTACACTTATTTATAACACATTACCATGTATTTTCATTTTTTTTTTTTGATGTGTGATGTTTAAAAAATTTAAAATAATTTAAAACTGAAAGGTCTTTGCCTTTTTCACTTAGCATAAAGGATACGCGATTTTCACTAGTCATCGTGACTTCGTAACGGATATGGACAGACACACGAATGTTTCGAACAGTACTAAATATTATCATCCAATGTGACAATGTACATTATTCTGTGGGTTTTTTTGTACAATTTTTATCAGTACACTCAACGAATTATCACAAGTTAAAACAACAAAATGCATTAATCAAATTTTAACAAAAATTAATTTATTAAAATAATAATATTTTTATCGATTTTACAAATATTTAATCAAATTAATACTAAATTTAATTAAAATAACAAATTAATTTGAATCTGTTTATAAAATAAACAACTTTTAATTTGATAAAACATAAATGTAAAACTAATAAAAATTTTCTTATTCCAATAAAATATATTATTAAATTGATAAAATACTTTATTTAAAATAATTATAGCATGTCTAAAAATACCAAAGATGGGTTTTTTGATGAATTCTGTCTACGATATCTGCGCGTACGTACGTACGACGCACGCACACACATCATTCATTTCACATTTGTCCAATGCCCATTGCCCATGCGCTAAGCACCGACTCGCGATTCTTCTGTTTTTGTATAAGACACTAATGGCCGGTTTCACCACCTAGAGTTAAAGTGCGAGTAACCGGTAACTCGGAGTTAGCGATAAAAACGTATTTCACGACCTCGAGTTAGATGGTAACTCCAAGTTAATGAAAATCTTTACTCCCAGATTTTAACCTCCAATATTTCTGAGTGTTAAGAGCTAACTCTTAGTTACAATCACGATTTACCGTGATACAAACAACCATTGATAGTGGTTGTTGTATAAACACGTTTTCTTTTCATTTTTCTTTTGCCTTCTGTGCTTTGATGAAAATTGAAAAGTCTGTTCGTTTTTGTTTGAATTTATTGTGAAGTTTTTGACGTTTTAATTATGTACCGTAGAATAATATTTGATAACGAAAACGCGATTGATGACGAAGTTATTGCAATGCAACGGCGACCTAAAACTTTTTTACGAGAGGGTCAACTATCTTGAACAGATGACCATGATTTTATTAATCGATTTCGCCTCTCAAAAGCAACGTTTAATACAATATTGAGATCAATAGAAAATGAAATATCTCCTCCTTCTACCAGGTAAGTAGACTTTAATTCCATATAAAATAATTTTGTTTTCTTTACCTACCTAATATTTATTTTTTTGTTTCAGGAACAGAGCAATATTACCTCCAAGTAAATTGTATATGATGCTGAGGTACCTCGCTACATTTTCGTTTTTGTTGTGTGTTGCTGACTTCACTGGAGTCAGTGAATCCTCAGCGTGTCGATACGTACACCAAGTCTGCAGAGCCATAGCGAGACAAAGGCCAAATTTCATTTCATTCCCATCTAATGAGATTGATAGAAATAGGGTAGTCAATGGATTTTACAGCCACAGTAGATTTCCTAGAGTGATAGGAGCTGTGGATTGCACCCACATAAAAATTCAGTCACCAGGTAGGCATAACATATAAATACTATTGCCATCTTATATGTTCTATCTGATTCTAACATGGTTCGTCGTAATTTGTATAGGTGGAGATAATGCAGAAGTATTTAGAAACCGGAAAGGTTGGTTTTCTATCAATACCCAATGCATTTGCAATCCATGGCTCAAAATTATGGACATAGTGGCGCGATGGCCAGGATCAAGCCACGATCAAATAATTTTTGACAACTCTAATATCAAACACAAATTTGAAACAGGAGTCATAAAAGGCTACCTTTTAGGTGACGGTGGCTATGAAGTTAAGCCCTACCTTATGACTCCTCTGCTAAACCCTACCACACGAAGCCAGCAATTATATAATGAGAGCCATATTAGGACAAGAAATGTAATAGAAAGGTAAATATTAAAAAAAAATACTCAAAAATGCTCTATGCTAAATTTGGAAAATACGTTTATTCATTGTGATTTTGTAGATGTTTTGGTGTTATGAAACGGAGATTCCCTGTACTCAGTAAAGGTTTAACAGTAAACTTGAATAACACACAAGCCATTATAGTTGCATGTGCTGTTCTCCATAACATATGTGTTGATATGCATGATGAACTTCCAGACGATGAGCTGATGGAAAACAATTTTATTAATGATGTTAATGAAAATCACATTGATAATTTGGTAGGAACAAGAGGAAAGCAAGAGAGAGATAGGCTGATCAATGATCACTTTGCAAATTTACTATAAGAATAAACTTAAACTTTAAACTTTATTTAAACTTATTTAACTTTATTTAAAACTTATTAAACTTTTAACTGATTTAACTTTTTTTTTTTAGTATTATAGTATTTAATTTTATGATTAACAAAATAAATTCAAATTCATATTGTAAAAAACGTGAAAAAATTTAATAAATTTACATTTGTAATTTTTGTTTTAGAAGTTCTATTTCTAGTTTTAATTTTTGCTCTTCCAAAATAACAGTCCTCTTTTTCACTTCATTAATTTCAAACTTTTGCTGTAAACATTTTATCTGCCATTCGGTAAGCTCATCTTTATGTTCTAATAATTTTGTTGCCTCGACAGTACGACTTTTTTTTTTCCTGAAAAAAAAATGCAAGTCATCAACATCACTTAATTCTAGTTATCAATATTATGGAAATTATATGTTACGTTAACTCACTGTAAGGAGTTCTGAGTGGAGTACTCAATTTCGATTTCAATTTTTGAGGAGTCACCACATCCCATTGGCTGATAGTTGTACCTGAAATAAATACATGTTAATAAAGATTGATGCTATCGAAGTAGATACATCTTTGATCTTTACTATTATAATGGATACCTGTTACGATTTAGTAGTTGCTAATTGTTAAATATGGGTAAATTAATCTATGGGTAGAATAGTAAGCTTTAGTAAACATACCTGGTTTAGTAATGATGTTTGTGGAAGTCAATGATGAAGACTTGTCACATTGAAATTCATTAGGCATAACTGAAAACAATTTATTTATATTATATTTTAAAAAAAATACTAAACTAATTAAACTGTTACTATTATATTATGTAACAATATATATTTATTAGCAGTGTTGTGCAATACCTAAATTTATCTAGATAAAAATTATACCCATTTAGATAAATGTATCTAGATAGATAACTATTCTAGAATATTGTCATTCAATATAAAAATTTAATTTAAAAAAACGTTATCTATGGGTAGAATAGTAAGCTTTAGTAAACATACCTGGTTTAGTTATGATGTTTGTGGAAGTCATTACAGTCTTGTTAAGAATACTTTTCAAATGTATTCAGAATACGTATTTAAATACTTGTTATCATTAGTATTTAAAATACGTATTCAAATACTTCCTTTTAAAAGTATTTGAATATAAATACAAATACTTTTTAAAAGTATTCAAAATACTTACAAAATACTTTTTTTAGTTCAATAAATCTCATATTGAAATGTTAATTTTATTAATAAATAATAATTAATATATATAATTAAACACTATATGCAAATATATAGGTATTTAAACTTATTTATTAATTACTTAATGTTACGGTAGAGAGGAGCAGACGGGGGTTTCAGTCATTCTGTTATAAGTGTCTGATTGTGTTTTGGGGAAACCTTATTTATAAATTCTCATTAAGACAGTCATTAGTCAAAACTATTATCATTATAGAATAATAGAATAATATTTTAGAAACAAAATTTAAAATAGTATATTACGAAAAATTTGTAATTATTGAAATTTCGAGTTGAACACTAGAATAAAAGTATTTAGTATTCTCGAATAAAAATACAAAAAAAAAGTATTTTTAAAGTATTTAAAAATACACGGGTCGAAAGTATTTGAAAAGTATTTAAAATACAAAAATAGTATTTAAATACTAGTATTTAAATACAAGTATTCGAATACTTAACAAGACTGGAAGTCAATGATGAAGACTTGTCACATTGAAATTCATTAGGCATAACTAGAAACAATTTATTTATATTATATTTAAAAGAAAATAGTAAACTAATTAAATTGTTACTATTATATTATATAAGTATGTAACATGATCTTACCAGTCACAAAGTATGAATTGTCATCGTTGTCATCATCAAACATTACAAAATTGTCTGAAAAATAAATATAGGTACCTATATTTGAGGTTGGAGGCAAATACAGGACAATCTTAATATGATCTTACCATCTACTTCATTGGGATCCTCATGAACTGGAGGCATGGCATCAACTTCATAGTCACAGTCAAACTGTGAAGGCATGCCTTCAATAGAGAGTTGAATCATGTCCTTCACCTTTTGTTCGGCATCATTGAGAGCGTTTGCTTCATTTTTGCCACCGCCTGTCTTTAGATGTTCCAGTCTTGAATTAATCAAAATAAAATTATCAAAGGTGGGCATTAACTTGTAAAAAAGTTAAAGATTTAAAGACTTTTTTTAAATTTTTAAATTAATTAGTTAATTATTTTTGTTAATACATTTCTGGTAATAATGTACCATATTAAAAATGTGATTTGTTATGTCTGCACAGTGTTAAACATCATGGTAAATCTTTATGTAAATTATAACACTAGGAAAATATATGATTTATGAATATTGTGGCCTGAAAATAAAAATTTGCTTTTTTTTAACTGAGTTAAGTTAATTTTTTTTTCTCGCTGAACTTTAAACTAGTTGAGTTGAATTTTTTAATTATTTTCATTAACTAGCCCACGTTTGAAAATTATCAATAATGAAGAGAGATATGAATCGTCAGAACTGAAATATTGGTCACACTTACCTTATCGAAGCACTTTTTTTCCTCACACATTTTTTTATATTTTTGTACTTCAGTTGAAGTTGTTGTACGGTGCGTGGAACTAATAGTGATTGACTATTAAATTCCGACGCTAGTTTTGTCCAACACGCTTCCTTCTCCTTCCACATGACTGCGTCGGTTTTTTTATTTTCAAGAACATGCTTGTGGGTGGTCACTAATTCCACTAGCAGTTCTTCTTCTCTTTTATTAAAATTAACGTTCCTAGACCTCTTCACTTCATTTGAGTTCATGTTTTTATGTGAAAATATCCGCAAACCAATTTAAAAAAGACAAAACACAAATTTTAAAAACTTTTAAACAACTTTATCAGGCTTATTATCAATGTTATCAGTGAAAAATAAATGTTATCATTAACAGGCCACCGGAAAAGGCCAATTTATGGGCCAATCGTAAGCTAACCTCAGGTTAACTAACTCTCACACATAAACCCGTGGTGAAACCGAAAAAATGGTAACTCTGGATTACTGGGTAACTCAGAGTTAACTAATCTGCGCTTTAACTCCTACGTGGTGAAACCGGCCATAAGACGTTTATTAAAAAGTTAACCACGTTTTTGACGAGATCAAAGTATCAAAGGATCGGTAAGTAAATTAATTGACTGGTACCTATATTGCGGAATGTTATTTGTATGTTTTAAAACTAATAAGGTAAGTGAAATATTTGTATACTGTAACATTATTCATTTTTCTCGCAGTCCTTGTTAACCACCTACCCTAACCAACTTATTTAAAATCTCTTTATTATACATTAAAATACTAGGTAGCTAGTAAGGTTCCTACCTACTTATAATAATGATTTGTTTTATTTGTAAGCACAGTGGTTTTACTTTTGCAGCACTATTGGCTCATTATAAAATAATTCATTTACTGAAACCTTTCAGTTCGTATGAATGTTGTGAATATGAATGTACTCAAACATTTTCTAATTTAAATAGTTATAAAAGACACATTATTAGAAAACACACAACTAAACCTATTAATTCACCAACTTCAATACCAGTAATAAACAATTTAAGTAATAATAATGCTGAAAATGAATGTATTTATACAACTCAAAATGATGCAATAGAAATTAATGATACTATATCCATCATTCCCGACAACAGTTGTCCAGTAACTTTTGAAAATGATGATATTCCTGATAATATCTGGGCATGGGTGGGAGTCACCGATGACAGTGTGTGTCGCTCTCCCACTGTAGGTTAGTTTTTAGTAGTCAGTTGCGACTATAGTTAGTACTAGTGAGCGGAGGTCCACACGGTGTGTCGTGTGTGAGGACCCGAGCTGTTAGTCGTTAGTGATTGTTAATAAATACATTGAGTGATAAATCGATTGTGCGTTGTTTATTGTATAGGAGAACATAACATTCCTAATTTAGATAATTTAATTAACTCGTATCATACATCTGAAGTTAAATTTACCTTGTCATTGCTTGATAACAACAATTTTAGTAGAAAAGATGTTTTTGAAATCCAAAGAAAAATTGAAAAATATATAATAAAACCCGTTGAAAATTTAATTACTAGCGTCACTCAGAAGGCGGTAAAAGAACCAATTTTACTATCATCTTTTCAAACAATTAAAACAGCATTTACTAATACATTTAATTTTTGCAATTCAGAGTTTTCTTTAAATAATTGGTTGGTTAGAAACAATTTATTTCAGAATGTTCAAGAATTTAGTATAAATGAAGAAATCAACTTAGTATCTGACTCTGGTGAAATAATTTATGGTGACAAAACTTCTAAAGGTATATTATTACCGTTACATTTCCAATTCAAAAAAACTTATGAACAAAATGAGAATTTAGCTAATAGTTTATCACTTTATGAACAATTGATTAACAACTCTAGTCACCAAACACAAATTAAACATTTTGTTCAAGGAGAGTTATGGAAAAAAAAAAGTTTGCCTTATAAAAATAAAATTGTTATCCTCTATTTTATGTATATCGACGATTTTGAAATTAATAACCCATTGGGCTCCCATGCTTCTGTTCATTCAATTTCAGCAATTTACTATAGTTTTCCTCTGCTTGATCAATCAAAACTTGTATATTTATATTTGGCAGCTTTAATAAAAGCTGTAGACATGAAAGACTTTGGCAATGATTTGTGTTTGAATAAGTTAATATTCCAAATAAATGATTTAGAAGTAAATGGTATCGTTATTGACACTCCATGTGGTCCAAAAAAAGTACATTTTATACTAGGATTATTTCTTGGTGACAACTTGGGATTAAACAGTATTTGTGAATTTAGTAAGTCATTTTCAGCAAATTACTTTTGTAGGTTTTGCAAAGCTGATAAATCTTTAACACGACATCTATTCAAAGAAAATAGTTTATTACTCCGCAATTCTATTAATTATGCAGAAGATGTTAGGGTTAATGATTCAAAGCAAACAGGGGTGTATA